CTAATGAATAGTAACAATTTCTTTAATAAAACATTATTTATGTGCATTTATTTCAGATATAATAGTTTTGCAAATAAAAAAAAATGAGGCATGATGATGATAACATGAAAAAGTATCTTAATTAATTATTAACAATTAAAATTTAGAATAATATTTTAACAAATTTCCACAGAGAGTTTAACAGAAAAAAAAAACATGGCTTCTTCATCTTTCTTCAACATACATCCTTTTCCCACCTCAGGAAGAAAGTCTTACGATGGAGTCGACTTTTTATTGTAGGCTCTTATCTGCTTTAATATGTAAATTATGTAAAGAATTTTCCGTCGGAAATGGCTAAAATCGTAAAGGTATATATATATATATTAACATCAATAAAACTATTAAAACTGGTAAATAGCCAAGACAATAATGCATGAGGTGTGAAAAAGACGTATGATGAAGAAAGATGAAGCCCTGTTTTTTCTTCTGTTAAACTTCTTGTAAAAACTTAAAAAAAGTTTTTTAAATTTCAAATGTATTATCGTCCTGGCTATTTACTAGTTTTGCTAGTTTTATTAACGTTAACAGTTAACAAGTTATATAAAACTTGTATCCTAATCCACAGGTAGCGGGAGAAATTGCTCCTCATGCGATAAAAGTTTATCGAATTGAATTGAATTGATTAAGAAAATTTAAAATTTAATTTAATTAATGTCATAAATAATAATTATCATTAAATTTAAATTACATTTTTGTACTTTATTTACGAATTTATTGTTTCGTGTGCAAAAATCGAAATAAAAAATGACATTTTTATAAAAATATACAAACAGAGAATCACTAGAAAATAACAATTAAAATGAAATGTAATTATTGTATTCTAAGAAAATATCATTCATTAGGCATTAAATCGTTAATCTAATAAATTTATTACTGTATTAATGCAATTACAGTTTGAATATGTAAATAATTTGTAAGACATTTATTTAATAAATTTTATTCATTATTTGATAAAGTTACACAATTTTTATTTTCTATTTCTTGTTATTGCGTAAGATGCAAAACAATTTAAATATTTAATTATGAATATTAAAAAATGACGTTTAAACGAAGTTGAATAACAAAAAAATATTAAATCATTTATTATTACATATTAAATAAGATCTTAAAACAGAATTTTATTTTTTTTTTTGTGCATATCTAACGAATAAAATAGATGTTTTATTTTTATGACTTATTTAATTAATAAATAATTAATATTTAAAATTTTATACAGAGCTTCATGGAATAAGCGAAAAACATGTCAGCCTTTCAATGTTGTATTAAATTAAAATTTAAAATCTGTTGTATCAAATATAATTATATTCGACAAGATTTTTAAATTTTTATGATAATAATATTTTATAAAATCTTTATACAATAATAAGTTCTTAAATTACCATTAAAAGGTTTTTGGTTTTGAAGGCATTTTATGTTTTATTTATCTGAAGATTATTCAATATATAAAAAAATCTAAACATTATTTGTTATTAATAATACTTTTTATCCAATTTTAGGAGTAATGTAAAACGTTTTATCTTAATTACGGTATATTTACCGTAATTAAGATAAAAAGTTTTACATCACTCTTAAAATTGAATAAAAAGTATTATTTAAAAAGTAATAAATTCTGCGATGTAATTTTATAATAAATTAGAAATTATATTAAATTAACATATGTTAATACAGTGTAAATAAAAAACAAATAAATTTATATATCTACTTTTTATGCATTTTAAGTTCAAAAATAAACAATAATTTTTAATGAAAGTAATTATACGTAGAAAATTAAACGTGACTGAATTTTCATAAACTTAGAAAACAACTGCACTTCGTAATCGAATCAACATATAAACAAAATATAATTTAATTTTTTAAACTATTATTTACATAAGCTTAATTGTTTTGACTGAGCACTAAATAAAATTTTGGCATTCAAAAAAGATGATATTTTTACAGTTTAATATTGGAAAATATAATTAATCCCATGTTTAAATTCATGAACATTATACTTTTATAATTTTAGAACAATACAAAGATTTAAATTTTAGAAAATTCAGATATAATTTACAAAAATAAAACTTTTAACAGTAATGATAATTAAATGTTAAAAGTTTTAAATGATATTATATTCTCTGATTAAATTACCATTAAGAGTCTGTTTTAATATCATAGAATAATTTAAAAGAACTGTCGTAATTCCGTTCAATTACTCGCAATATTTCTGAAATTGTTTTTTTCTGTCGGAATAATTTTTGCATGTAGATTTTCATTCAATTTTTAATTAAAAAGTAGTTTTAAATAGATTTAATTGCCATTTTCTGTTCGCTAAATATTTTAATTCTTATATCCGAATTAGTTTTGTGTAGAAAATAGCTTCTAATTAAGTAAAATTAGAATTGAAGAAGAAACGTAATCTGAAATTCCTTATTAAATTCTGTTTTATTAAGAAAAAGAAAATCTTATCACTCTTGTACACTGTAAAAGAAACAAGAGTATTTCAGTTTAGAAAAAATACCCTTTGCTATGTATAGGCTATATGTATACTGTATATATAAACATAATATTTCTTCATTTAATTTCTCAATGAGTTTATAGATTACAAAACTAATAATAAAAATTATTAATTTTATTATATTTTTTCTAAACACGAAGTGCTTGACGATCTTTCACTGAAAGAGGAAAATACTAATTTCAATTTCCGATTGATTCGGAAATGTCAACGTTAGAAATTTCGTCTGCCTTCATCTAGAAGTGATGGTTGTCATGGCTACAGCATCCCAATAGAACCTATTCAGTCATCTTAGATGTTGTATATCAAATATTCTAAAAGTAAAATTTTGTTTCAATTGCCGGATTCCAAATATTTCAACATGGCTTAATACGATAAATTCAATAAATCTACAAGAATATAAAATATTATAGTTATTGTTTTTTTTAGTTTTTATTTTTTTATTTTTTTTGTAAACATAACGACTGTCATATAAATTTATGAGATATTTAATGTATTACCATTATAATTTTATATTGTAAATTTTTTAAAATGATGTATATATTTTGATTTTTTATATATTCCATTTGTTTAATATGTGTGTTAAATAAATATTTATTAGTTTATTTAATATATATATGAAAAATAAGAAAAAGTTATAAAAATATTACGTATAACATTTATAACAATATAAATTATTTTAAATTAAAAAAAATTGTAAATAATTTAAACTCACTTTATAAATGCTCGAATTGATTTGAATTAATTAAGGATTTATAATCCTTGTTGAATTTTCAATGAATGATGTTATCTTGAAAGAATTAAGTAGTGTAAAGAACAGATCTGTGGTTGCCATGACACCTGAGACAAAACACACACTGAAATGAAAGCCTACACGGAAATTCTAAATTTATCTCTCGATCGTTTTTCGATTGTTTATCTCTCGCTAAGTGACACGAGCCACTAACTACGTTCGTAAATTCAGTTTACAGGATGAGTGTGACACGATATTCGACTGAATATTTTCTAAAAATAATACATAGATATAAATTTCCGTACTCTTAGAATGGAGTTCAGTAAAATGAAGATAAATATTTCATCTGTAATATATGTATAGATTTAATAATATCTTTCTAAATGACTGTTTTATAATGACTTCATAAATTTCTGAAGATAGTATTGTAGTATGTTATTTTCCGATCATTATGGAAATTTTATTAGACCTCTGAATATGAGATAGAACGATGATTGAAAATCAATGTATAAAAATGGCAGTTATCTGATATAATTGACACCTAATAAGTATAATTCAAATACTTCTTATTAATATGTATATATATAGCCTGTATATATAGTAATTTGAAATGGTTTGTAGTTATAAAGTATTCAGAAAAATTATACGAGTTATTTCTGAAAACAAAATCAAAATTGATGTTTAAAATCAACTGCTGAAAATATATGTAAAGTCTATGTAACTTCATAAGCTGTAAGTGTATATAATTTTAAATGCTGTAAGATATAAATGTATAATTAATATTTAAAATTTAAAAAAATAAAACATGAAGTTATGAAACCTTATTACATACGGTTTTATATTACAAAATAATTTTAAAATATAATAAGACTAAAATATTATCATCAAACAAGATAATTAATTTTATTATTTAAAGAATTTAATATAATGTTTAGTAATATAAATGGTAATTTTAACTTCTAATTTACATAAAAAAACAGGAAAATTATAAAAATAATTATTTTACAATTTAGTTCTATAAAACTAGGGGGGAAATTAAAAAACAATGATGAGAATATTCGTCCATCAATCTTATTGACTAATTATAAAATTATAATTTTAAGTTTTGTTAATCTTTTAAAATTAATCTTTAAACATTTTGAAATCCCACGAATATGTTTAAAAAAGTTGTAATTTAATTACCAAATGTACGAAGATTAAAATATGTGAATAATATTTAAAAATTTTTAAATTTATCTTTACTTAAATTAATAAATTGTATATTAAGTTTATTTATCAAACGATTAATTATTAGGCTTATTCCTAAAATTTTAATACATAAAACTAGTAGCAATAAATAACGCAATGAATGGATTACCTGTATTAAGTGCCATCTGTTGATTAAAATAGGAAATAATCAATGCTATTTCAATAAATTTAGAAAAATATATAAAATAATTTCAACAAAAATAATGCGTTTATTAATTATATTAATTGTACATTATTATTTTTGTAAAAAATTAAATTTTAGCTGATTTACTTGCTTTATACAAATATTTAAAATGATCTCAATTTTAAAGGTAAGAAAAGAATTGTGCAGTTCAACAACGAAAATTTATATGAACATTTTTCAATACTTATTATTAAATGAAATTACAAGTTTACATATCTATTAAAATAAAGGGTAAAAAATTATAGATTTAAACCTAATAAAACGTTAAATAACTAATATAAATTTTTTACTTTACTCAACTGAGTTTAGTACTTTAATATTTTAATAATATACAAGTATTACATGATTATAAATAGCAAAGATATATTTAATTCATTCGTTTTAAATTATTCAAAATATATTGATGTCCTTATTTGAAGCATTTTGAGAATATTCTATTAAGTTATATCAAAATATTAGAAGATAAGATAAATTGATCCATCGCTTCGGTTGCTTGAAAATAGATAGAATAATTTATGAACAACTTTTAAGAGTTTAAATAAGAAAGAGAAAACAGAAAAAATGGTTTCTTTTATTGTGTCAAGATTGCATGTCAATTTAAAATTTTTAGGACTGCTTATTCGAAAATTTTTAAAAGAAATATTATAATATATCTTGAAAATACCTTCGGTGTAACCTCATACTGTCATCATCAATCTCTGTTCATAGTTCTTCAAAATGTTCTGAACGTCTTTGCCTCAAGAAGTGAAATCTTCAGTATCATTATTATTACTTTAATGTCAAAGTTTGCCAATTCTCAATCTAGAATGTCAGGAAATTCCTCAGAGAGCATTTCCAAAATAATAATAACCGTAAATATCGAAATATACTATTCATCTTTAAGTATCAATAATGTTAACAACACAACTAAAAAATCAATTACAATTCTTTGATTTAATAAATAATTTATTAGTAAACATGTAATGTTATATGTTATATTTTAAAATTATTGCAGAATTTATTATCTTGAGAATCTCTATAAATTTAAATTTATGTATGTATAATATACATATAACTATTAAGAATTATATAAGTAAATTTTATGTTTCTTTAATATTAACCGTAATTTCTTATGACTAACAATAATTCATGATTGATTCATGCTTCATAATTTATGTTAAACAAAGCGTTTAAGTGTATGTGTATTTTATATTGTCTATCATAAGATAATATAATTAATATTTTTTAAATATAGAATTTAATTTAATCCACGTAATTTTTAATATTTTAAAAATTTATTAATTTATTATTGTTATTATATATTTTACTGTAAATTAGCTTTCTCAAGTTATGCTGTGGTTTGAATTGTGATTCTGATGATAGATATAAAAACTCCCATAGTATTAGCCTATAATGAATTGTAGATAGTACTGGATGTAATTCATAAATAATTGATGTAAAACTTTTAAGTAAATAATTTATGTAGCACGTAGTATTTTAAAATTAATGTAAAGTTTCACAGATGCATGTATCTTAAACGTAAACGTAAAGCTTTACTTTATATACGAGATATTTTTTTACTGCCATTTTAATTGAGGAATAGTTACTTTACTATGCATTGTCATTAAATTATTTTTTCTTTTTCTATTTTTTAAATATATATTAATGAAAAATTATTTGATTATCGGTACAATTTAAGTAAAAATTACATAATTATAAAATAAATTTATACTCTACAGCAGTGTTTTTCAACCTTTTTTTTATCACAGTTGAACCTACAGTTAAATTTCCGTGAAAAAGTCCGTGATTTAAAGTTCTTTGTAAACATTCTATCGTCATATTACTTGCCACTTAACATAATTCTTTGTTTTATATTTTTTGTGNACGTTAAATAACTAATATAAATTTTTTACTTTACTCAACTGAGTTTAGTACTTTAATATTTTAATAATATACAAGTATTACATGATTATAAATAGCAAAGATATATTTAATTCATTCGTTTTAAATTATTCAAAATATATTGATGTCCTTATTTGAAGCATTTTGAGAATATTCTATTAAGTTATATCAAAATATTAGAAGATAAGATAAATTGATCCATCGCTTCGGTTGCTTGAAAATAGATAGAATAATTTATGAACAACTTTTAAGAGTTTAAATAAGAAAGAGAAAACAGAAAAAATGGTTTCTTTTATTGTGTCAAGATTGCATGTCAATTTAAAATTTTTAGGACTGCTTATTCGAAAATTTTTAAAAGAAATATTATAATATATCTTGAAAATACCTTCGGTGTAACCTCATACTGTCATCATCAATCTCTGTTCATAGTTCTTCAAAATGTTCTGAACGTCTTTGCCTCAAGAAGTGAAATCTTCAGTATCATTATTATTACTTTAATGTCAAAGTTTGCCAATTCTCAATCTAGAATGTCAGGAAATTCCTCAGAGAGCATTTCCAAAATAATAATAACCGTAAATATCGAAATATACTATTCATCTTTAAGTATCAATAATGTTAACAACACAACTAAAAAATCAATTACAATTCTTTGATTTAATAAATAATTTATTAGTAAACATGTAATGTTATATGTTATATTTTAAAATTATTGCAGAATTTATTATCTTGAGAATCTCTATAAATTTAAATTTATGTATGTATAATATACATATAACTATTAAGAATTATATAAGTAAATTTTATGTTTCTTTAATATTAACCGTAATTTCTTATGACTAACAATAATTCATGATTGATTCATGCTTCATAATTTATGTTAAACAAAGCGTTTAAGTGTATGTGTATTTTATATTGTCTATCATAAGATAATATAATTAATATTTTTTAAATATAGAATTTAATTTAATCCACGTAATTTTTAATATTTTAAAAATTTATTAATTTATTATTGTTATTATATATTTTACTGTAAATTAGCTTTCTCAAGTTATGCTGTGGTTTGAATTGTGATTCTGATGATAGATATAAAAACTCCCATAGTATTAGCCTATAATGAATTGTAGATAGTACTGGATGTAATTCATAAATAATTGATGTAAAACTTTTAAGTAAATAATTTATGTAGCACGTAGTATTTTAAAATTAATGTAAAGTTTCACAGATGCATGTATCTTAAACGTAAACGTAAAGCTTTACTTTATATACGAGATATTTTTTTACTGCCATTTTAATTGAGGAATAGTTACTTTACTATGCATTGTCATTAAATTATTTTTTCTTTTTCTATTTTTTAAATATATATTAATGAAAAATTATTTGATTATCGGTACAATTTAAGTAAAAATTACATAATTATAAAATAAATTTATACTCTACAGCAGTGTTTTTCAACCTTTTTTTTATCACAGTTGAACCTACAGTTAAATTTCCGTGAAAAAGTCCGTGATTTAAAGTTCTTTGTAAACATTCTATCGTCATATTACTTGCCACTTAACATAATTCTTTGTTTTATATTTTTTGTGAATTAAATAAAACAGTATTGTTGTTCCGTAAAATAGGAGCAGGCTACAACAATAGTTGATTTTCATTTACATAAGAAAAGCAATTAACTAAATCTTAATTTGCATTTAAAAGTGGCACGATAATGGCTTTTATAAATCTGCTAAGTGTCCTGCTATTTCTAAGTTAAAATAATTTGAACTAAATATGGACAATTACAGATACATTTTTGATACTTTTCTAGCAGGATAAGTGTTAAAAAAAATTTCATTTTAAATTAAATAACTCAGTGTTATGCTCACATAATTTTGCATACAATATATTTTTCTACTATATTATGTATATGTTTATTTATTATAACAATGAATTTAATATTTCATTGTATAATCATTGTATAATCAATTTAAAGAAGTTTTAATTTTGACATGTACACTTATTGTTCTTTAGGCTTCTTTCGAAATTATTTATTTAATAACCTACAAAATAACCGGTTGAAAATCACTGCTCTACAGGATCAGAGATAAGCAACCTTTTTGATTGCCGTGCCAAAGTAAAACAATTTAATAATTCAGCATACTAGTTTTATTTCGCAATATGACCTATGTTTAACATTCCAAGATTCAACAGAAAGCACCATTTTTGGCGGAGAATAACGTTATCGAATCTAACCAATTTTAAAACATTTTCAAACCATAGCAGTAAATTGATAGATTTTATTTCATGGATTATCAATATTATTATTAATATAAATAATTTAGAATAAAAAAATAATTTACTTTATAATTACAAGCAAATTTAATACGGAACAATATTCATATTTCTATTGCAAGTAGTATAACATATCTGACATTATTTAGTCAATAATTATTACAGGTAGCAACTAAGTATGAAAGAGAAAATAATTAATCTCGGAAAGCATCATTACACTCTATTATATATGTTATACACGTCTATTATTTCATAAAAACTAAAAACTGAAGCTTCATCAATGAATGATTATGAACAAATTTTTAGTAAATCTAAACAAAGTAGATGTAATTTCGAAATAGTCGAATAGTGAAGAGAATATACGACAAAATTTATAAGAGTAAAAATGGACAGAAGTTTATTTTGGTACGTGTTTTGGCAACTTTATTAATGGTAGAAGTTTATTTTTAACTGTCAGAGAATTAATTATAAATGTTAATTATTATATTTCATTGCTCAATTTTTTCACGATGATATAAGACAGGACCATGCTTCATGCAATTTTCAATCGCAAATTCAATTTTTTAAATACTGTAGTTAAGTATAAAAAGCATGGTTGTTCTTTATTATATTAAAATTCAATATTGTTTATTCTCGATTGTCAACAGACATTAAATGCATTTTTTAAAATATAGGCTGTATAAATTAAACAATTAATTTCTGACCTAATGTATGACCCGCATTAGCTTATTTACACTGGCATGTTTATCATTATTTATATACTATTTCAAAACGTGTAAACTTTAGAAAAGTCAACAAGAATCAATAGACATTGCCGCAAATGAATCTTATAAAGACCTATTTAAAGAAGAGAATTTGTTAAATATTTATAAATCTCTGCCAGAAGAGAATTTTTAAAGTCTTAAAAGGCGTTTCCAAAGGGAATATTTTCTAGTTTTGCCTTCTTAGTATCTTTGTGAACAAATCTAAAAATAAAATATATAAAATCAAAATATATAACATTATGTAAACGAATATCTAAAGAATTTTAGTATTGGGTGCCACAAAATTTATCACCAATGTTGATAGCATTCTTTCGATAAATTAATTTGCAAATTTCTCATTTATTTATGTCCGTTTGCTGCATTTGTATCACACATATGGAGTGATTACAAATATTCTCTCTTCATAATAAAATTAAAATTAAAGTTAGAAATAATTTGGAATTTATGCCTGACGGTGGATAGTCAGTCTCAAAATTTAACTATTTAAACAGAAGAATTAGCAGAAAAATGTTCCATCGACGACATAAGATGTTACAGAAGAAAATAAAATTTAATATACTTTTATGAATAATATTTCAAATTTTCTACAGAAAATTATATTATATTGTTATAGTTACAGGAAAAAATATCTAAATATTTGTTTCATGTGTAAAAGAGTTATTATAATAAAAGAAATAGGACTAACTTAAGGAAAAGTTTATTATTTTAATATTTTATATAAAAATTATAAAACATTATAAAACATAGATATATAAATTTAATGAATTGAGTAAAAATTAAATTTACTATAAAATCAAGGTACTGTACATTTGCTGAAATATTGTGTAAAGAAAAACATTACTGTAGAACCATTAACCAAGACAAAGACGTTGAAAATCAGCAATAGAACGAATGAATAAAATTATGAATTGCAATCTTTCAACTAAGATCAGTCTTCTTCATAAATATGTATGAATCAAATTATTATTAAAAAATTTCTGGAAGTATAAGAAATACGGGGAAAAAGAAAATATCTAATTTGTCTTCTGGTATATCATACAAAACAAAACAGCATCCAAAAGTTTCGATAACTTTTCTTTTCAAACTTTCTTGTCGAGGAAAAAATTAATCAAATCATATCGAGGTTATAAAACGAATAATTATTTCTGAAATGCCTGAATTTGATGCCAAAGATCAATTACTTTCGACTTGTAAATGTAATGCTTTATTCATTATGAGTCGAAAAAGTGCATCATTCCAGGTTGTTGGGAGTATTTGTAAGAGTTTATAAATAAACTTTGAAGTTGCAGAAGATACAACATATCGAGGAGAGGGAGAATCTCCAAACACAGCTTCTTTTATTGTTTCTAACATAGAAGAGGACTCGATATTTTTAGGACTACCAATTCCAAAATTTTTCAAAGTGATATCGTGATATTTCTGAAAGTATCCTTGATATAGTTTCTTACTTTCATCATCCATTTTCTCCCACATTTCTTCGGAATGTTGTGAATGATTTGCCATGATATTAGTCACTCGAGCGAAATCTCCTGGTTCGATCACTATTACCTTGACACCAAATTTATCCAATTCATAACGCAAAACATCAGAAAATCCTTCCAGGGCATATTTTGTAGCGCAATAAACTGAAATACCTGGATATGCGATTTTTCCATTTATACTCGTAATGTTAATAATTCGACCTGAAAAACAAAAAATTAAAATTAAATGCAATATCGAATATTTTATTTTTATTAATAAAGAAATTAAATTAGTCTATATATCACTTTAAGAAGATTTAGAATAGAGAAATAAATTTAAATTTTACTTTCTTAAAAAACAAAAATACAGTAGTTAAATAATATAAAATTAATATTTTGTTTAAATTTTATTTTGAACAATTTATACTTACTTTTTCTTCAATTTGAACAACGAAATCAAAAAGTAAAAATACAAGTTACATTAATTCATTTAATAGTTATTCATATGATATTGAAATGAGGAAAAATAATTATAATTTAAAAAGTTAATGAAGTTGATTTATATAAACAATTACTTATGATAAAAAATATTATGTGTAGACGTAAAAAATGTATAGGTGTATCCGAGAAAGCCAACAAATAGATAAATATTAAAATAAAGAAAAAAGTCAAATGTCTTTCGGTCCAGACCGGAATTTCGTTAATCGGGGTCTCCAGCCTTAAGCTTTCCGTACTTAGTCTGAATTTTAATGGTGTCTCGCCCCTGTATAACACACTTCTTCTGATAACAATCGGGTCATGCCAGTCATCTACCTAACTCCGTACTCGAGAAAATTTTGAATTGAAATAATGTGACTTCCAATATAGGCCAGAAGTTCGCATGTACCTAATCTGGTAAACACGGTATTTTATCTATGATAATTCTAAAAACAATTTTTCTTGAATTTAATGAATTTTTTATGAACACTTTTAATAAAATCTTTGCTGAAAGATTTATTTACAGATGAAAGGTGTTCCATTCACGATTCGCCCTTACAGATGATTATAAATGAGAACTTAAAAATAAAACAAACTTGAAGATAAACTTAAGATAAAATACTAGCGTCGTTTTAAAGTTTTTGTCTATATTCGAATCTATCGAAGAGTAATAATTATTTCAAAACATTTTAAACATTTTATTCAACATGTTTCTGTTATAAATAGAGAAAATATAGCTCACGAAATTAAATAAGCCTAAATAAGGCTATTTTTTTATATTTTCATTAATAAATGAAAAAAAAAATAATAATAATAACCAAATGTAGCATTTATCTTAAATAAAAATCCAGTAGTGAGTTGCGAAAAATATTTAAGAAACATATTAGCAGTATTAAAAAATTGTGTGTGGCGCTATCTGTTATGAGATTTTACTTTGAAATAATTTTTGTATTATTAATTATAATAAAAAGGTAAATGGATTAATTTTGAAAAACATTTCCCCTAATACATAAAAGTCGCTGCAAAATTTCAGAATATTCGACTAAACTCACAGTTATTAAGCTTCAAAGTGGATGAAAAAAATCGTACCTCCATACAAACGTCCATACATACAGAAAAAAACCCAAGTTTTTTTTATCACCATACTTTCCTTCTGTTATATAACATCCGGGAAAGTGAAAATGAATGGCGGCATTTGGTTATTGCAAAAGAATATACAGTACTTTAAAAATATATATTAGCACTGTTTTCTCAATGATACATTGACTCTTTAATTAAGTTTAAAATATCATAATATAGAATGCAAGTTCAAGAGAAGTAAAAGAAATTATGTTCAAGAGGTTTATAAATTTTCCTGGAAACGCTTTGTTTAGTTAAAACTATAACAACAAGGCAAAAGTACAAAAATCTCTTCTAAACTTTTTCATAAGATTTTAGGATTCTGAAGCTTTAGGATGTCTCAAATTTTATTTACAAATCTTCATTGTAAAATAAATACAATGAAGTTATTTATACGAAAGTTTTTTGCAACATCATTTTATCTAAATGTTTTATCATCAGATTTTTTTATGTTTTAATGTTTTATCATTTTATTCACTTCTGGTGCGTTGTGCATTCGAAGTTGATAGAATGGATCGTTAGATTTTATCCTATCAGCTTACAAATCTGAAAGGACTTTTCAAAACTTCTCTAAAAGATTATTGTGATGATGGAAAACAACATAAGTAGATTAAATCGTAATAGAAAATTCTGTAGTAATAATTAAAACTTTAATACTTGTATTAAAACTTAGTACTTGTATTAGACACAAACCTTTATGTTTCCGAATAAGAGGAAGAAACATTTTGGTCATTCGAATTGTACCATAAAGATTAATATCCAACTGATAGCAGCACTGCCTCCAAGATAACCAATCAAATTCGCCATAAATGCAAACTCCAGCATTGTTTATTAAAACTAGACCTAAATAACACAAAAGAAATATATTAATTATGCTTATGTAGCCTTACTGGAAAAATATCAAATATTTATTTTATATTAAATCTTATGTATAAATGATGTATTTAGTTTTATCTTCACGTGATTTTAGATAAATCTATGTATATAAATACAGTATTAATATTTGTCGTAATTGTAATGTAGTGACCACAATGGCCAAATTAACACGAATTGAAAAGGTTATAAGCCTTTAGACCAGTATTTCCCAACGTGGGCCCACGCCCCACAGGGGGCAATTCGATTGTTAAGAGGGGCAATTCAAAAATGGATTCGTCCAGAGTTTAAGTTAACCGTATAGCCGCTGTTTCGGGACATTCCAATTTTCATCGCGAGTGTTGAGTGTTGAAGTCAACAATTTGACGTCATCAACAACATTCCAACTCGAGTACGAAATGCCTACTACCCAAAATTCCATTCTCAGCAAGATGGATTCCATTCAAATGTCTTACCAATTACCCACAATTCATTGGAAAGTAGCAGTCAACACATCTGTTGAGTGCTGAGTGTGTTGAGTCAGCGCTGACAACAACACTACCTCAACGTTGAAAAAAGGAACGAATTTTAACGAATGTTGAGATCAGCGCTGAGTCAACGTTGAAAATTGGAATGTCCCGTTTATGTTAGGGGGGCATAAGAATTTTAGAAAGGCTTAGGTGGGGCATAGCACAAAAAAGGTTGGGAAACACTGCTTTAGATCCTTCTTATTGTTGAATGTAAATGATTACACTCGGAAATTTCTGACACCAAGTTGGTTACATCTACTATTTCAGTTTTTGAGCTTTTTTTTTTCTGGATTTTAACATGGTATGACAATATTCGTCGTATTCAGGGATGCGAATTTTCCATAAAATTATTTGTTTTTAAATTTTATTGCATTATTACAGTAACTTTACAGTTTTGTGTAACTTCGAGTTATATTAAAATAGTAGATAACATCTTTTATGGAGTAACAAGGAGCGATTTTATGATTTTGGCCTATGATTATGCTAAATGAATGTGACGAATGTAGATTATACTGAAATGGGAATAAATAAAGAATTTTAGATTTTCTTTCTTTTACTAATGCTTATTATTAATGTTGAGATGAACAATCACGGGAATATCTACTTTGTACTAGTGGTCGAACACAATGAATACATTTTCATTTTTTTCAGTTATTCCGTTAATCGTCATTAATTTCAATTTTGTAACGTAATTACTATGAACAGATGAAATTTTATTCTACAATGAATCTACAGTGAAAATTTAAAAACTTAGTACAGTAATTACAATGATAAAAATTATAAGCACTTAAATTTAACATATTCATTATGCCAGACCTTCCATTACAAGAATTTGCTAATAATAAAACAATATTAATTTGTTTTTAAATTAGCTAAAGTGAAAGTTTTATTAGTAAAATTTATTTTTAAGAACGTCAAAAATCCATATTATACATAGTAAGATCCATGTACAGACGCATTGTCATGCAGAAAGTATCATTGTACATTTCGCTACATTTCTGGACATTTTACGTCGTTTGAATGAGTCCATCCGTCATAAATGGTCTGAGGTACAGTACAGTACGTATATTCTGCTACAAATTACCTGATAATAACAATTATACCGTAAAAATTAACTAATTTATTTGTCAATTGCAAAATTATGTCGGACAACTATTTGATAAAACGGAAGAATTTTTCTTAAATACATTGAGAAATTTTGTTTGATAAGAAGTTGTTTCAAATTTTCTGTCCATAAAGTACTAAAAGAGTTTTATTCTTCTCTAATCAATGTCTAACTAAATCCATTGATTTAGCTGATCATAATGGGTCAATGGATAGTGAGGAATAGATATATCCGACCCACAACAGTGGAAAGTTCCATAAAAATTGTGAGGATTCTCATCTTTCACAACAGTAGGTTGAAGCCCTTATCGCGCCACCGGCGCGATAAGGGCTTCAACCTATTCTGCCACCGACTATCGTGATAAAGAATTACAATAAGATTACTTAAAACAAGTTAGAAACTTTATTTTGTAACCTATGTTTAATTTTGTAAACTTTAGAAATATTTAAAGATTTAATACATATTGAATGGGTCATTGGTTATCTTTTACAATGACCCATTTAATATGCATTTTATAAAGTATGCAGTATAAAGAAAAATGAATTTTACAATTCATTTTTCTTTATACTGAGCGTTAATATACTCGATTTTAAAAAAAATAACTTATTTATAATGCATTCTACACGTTATAGTTGTACTTTTGTATGTGTATTTGCTAATAATTTCGTAAATATTTTTTTCCTTAGTTAAACGAATTGCAACATATTTCAAGAAAATATCCTGATGCGTTACATTATGTGTTATGTAATGCAATAATTTAATATATATATTTAATACGTATTAAACAAATGAAACAAACTATAAAAATTAATTTTTGCTAATTCATCCCTAGCTAATTTATTAACAAACTTAAGTTTTATAATTTTTATTTGTTTAATATATACTAAATAATTAGGAAAAACTATTTTCTAAATACTATTTTGTTATTGTTTATTTTGAAATGTTTCAAAAATTTTTAAAATATTTTTAAAACATTTAAAAACAGACATTTAAAAAGTTCATTTATAAAATAATGTTTTAAAAATCGGGAAAAATATTTTTGTCAATTTTATGTGATTTTTACAAATTTTTAGATAATAGAACATTTCAAAATTAAATCAGCTAATTATATATGTAAATAATTGGCTTGTTTACATACTCTACTTAAATAATGTTAGTCAATATTTAAATATATGATTAATAAAGATAATCAAGTATTCAAAATGAAAATAATGTAAGTTATATATATATATAAAACACCTTTTCCCGATAGGCACTAAGAAGACCTTTACAAAATATTAAAACTTACTTTTTTGATTCCATTCGTTCTTGACACATTCTAGAGCGTTTTTGACACTTTCTTCATTTGTAATATCTAAAGGAACTATTTTTAGTCTCTCCGATTTTTGTTGTTTCAACAGATTAGCTCCATTTCCATCGGGAAAGAGACAACCAGCAAACACCGTGCAGCCCAAACTGTGAAGATAAATTGCCATTTTATGTCCTAGTCCACTATCGCAACCGCTAATGAAAACACATTTTTCGAAATTGAATGTTGCTTTTGCCAGTTTCAAATATAAAAATGTTATAAAAATGATTACACCTAAAATACAGTAATAACTGCAGTCTTCCATTGCGAAAGTGAAGCAATCTCGAGTGACGATGTCTGGAATTTAGCGATTTCCTCGAGTGAAGGTCAAACTTCTGAAAACAAGTAAAATTTATGATAGCGAAAGAAAACTTCGATATTGTACATAAATTTTTAGAATCAAGTATTGTATAAAATACAAAATAACACGTTTAAATTTTCTGTTTAACTTTATATTTTATATATTTAAGTTATTTATATATATCGCATATTGATAAAAAAAAGTGATATATATATAGCATTATAAAAAACACAATGTGTTTCATAAAAGCGTACACAGTAAGTACAATATTAGTCTTTACATGGATTTAATAAACATCAACTTGCATAATTATAAAAATTAAATATGAAACTTAGGATGATAAATTTAGATTTAAGTATAAATATTTAAAATAGATCAATTTTAAAAGATATTTGATTTTTACTCTTTATAATTTAAAACTTACAAATGTCAACATTTATTTTATTATTTGATATATCTTTATTAGCTTTGTAAAATTTTAAATATTTAAATACAAGTAGAATTGAAAATATTTTTATGTTGTCTGCTCTAGAAAAATATACAATAGAATAATAGATAGAAAGAAATTAAAAAAAAAAACAAAAACAAGCAGGAAAAATAAAGTTTCAGTCAAATTATTTTGTTAGAATTAATAATAATTACAATACAGACATCTGAGATAAAAACAATTAAGTTATTAAGATTATTATTGCATAATAATTATTACTCAATGCTTACTTATACTAATAATTTAGTAAACTTAAATTACCACAAAATATGAAAGGAATGGCTGACAATAAAGGGAATTGAATGGAGTGTTCACGTTTTATGGTAGACTATGTTTTCGACAGGGTCCTAGAGTAACTCTGTAAAACTTGACCTAAGTCGATGAAAGAAAATCCTTCGTTTTAAGAGTCAATATGGAGATGAATCAAGGGGTTTCGAAATTACATGCAAAAATAGTCCTAGGATTTGTGAGACCCTAGGCAAACTTTATTTTTAAGGCTTATTAAAAGCGCGATTTAGAGGTTATTTTATTTAGGTTAAATAATATGAATACAGGTTTTTGTATTATAGAAACAGACAGTAGAACACACAATAAAGTATACTTACAAAACTGCTCTCCTGCTGTTAGCAGACTGAATTCATCAATTACAGAGATAAATTCAACAAAAAAAAATTTTTTACGTATGTAAAAAAATCCTTCATACACTTAATAAAATTTCTCTCGTTACAAATTCTCTTTAGCAGCCAGTAAGAGAAAGCTAGCAACACTGCTGAACTTTCCTGACATTATTTGTTTTTATCCCTAATAATTACTACCGTTATTTTTGTCTTCAGATTTACACAAACTTTATAATACAAATTTACTCGAAATTACGGTCATTTAGGCCTTTTTTTTTTGTTTTTAACTCTTTCCGTCCTGGGCACTAAGAGAGCTTCTTTTAGCAAGCCCATTATGGGTTCGGTCAGGCCCACAATGGGCCGACCGGGTGGTGAAAATAGGGGCTCGACACATCTGGACAGACCACCACCTGAAAAATTCCAGCGGTTTTTCGATCTGTCCAGATTCGATTCCAGGTCACTATCTTGACCGATCGGCCATCCCGTCTAGGATCATTTACGCTAACGATTACCTTACTCACCTCTTCAACAAATAAAGATATTTTGGTCAAATTTAGATAAAAAATTATGATTAATATTTATCTCAAAGAATTTTATAAAAAAAATAGTTTTTTTCTTTTTAAATATTTTTACCCCAGACCTAAAGTTAGGGGTTGGAAAAATATCAATTTCCTAAAACTATTTTATTAATATATACATATTGAAAAAAAGAATTCAATTGGTTCAGTCTATCAGAAGTTATAAAGAAAAATAACGAAAAAAAATCCTAGTACTGTATTGGAAGTGGGAATGAGTTTTGAAAAAAATTTCAAAACAAATACATTATGTTTAGATAAACCAATAAAAATTTGTACGTACTAAAAGAATTTCATAATGAAAGATTTTTAAGATGCTCCATCCCATTAATATCGCCCTAAACAATGTTCCGATTTTTCTGAAAAGTTTTAGAAACATTTCAACATTTCCCCTTAATACAAAATCTCCCTGCAAAATTTCAGAACACTTTGACAAAACGTAAAGGAGTTATTAAACTTTAAAGTGGGTGAAAAGAATCATGTCCTCCCATATACTAATATCCATACACACAGAAAAAATTCAGTAACGAGTTACATAACTTTTCCCCGCAAAAAACGTTAAAACTACGTGTGGCGCCACCTGTTATGAGATTTTATTTTAAAGCCTTTTATATTAGCGAGATTGCGGCCGAAGTTTTCAACGCAAAAACGTGTACGTCGGACATTCAGCGCCGCCATCCTGTAAGCCTAGAAGTTTGACAATGGCGTTTGGAACGTCAGTGGAATCATGCCCGATGTTCCAAACGCCATTGTCAAACTTCTAGACTTACAGGATGGCGGCGCTGAATGTCCGACGTACACGTTTTTGCGTTGAAAACTTCGGCCGCAACTCGCTATTATTAATTATCGAGAGTCACGGAAATTTTTGTTTGCTAAGTTATGGCAACACAACATTTGGGCGATCTGCCTAAGGGGGAATTGCCTTCCGGGAGGTCTTTTTAAGGAAAACTGATCCCTATTTTAGCCCGCATTTAGGCGTTACAGACTTGGAGAAAACCCGGAAAACTCCACGTGGCCAGCCCGTCCAAGCGAGGCACGAACCCATGACTGAACTACCAGTGTTCAGGGTGCGATGATCGCTTGGCTACTGGTGGGCCATCACGGAAATGACTCCGCGCCAAGTGAAAAAGTCATTGACTGACTATATATATATAGGAATCAGAGTTGCCGATTTTCGGGAATCAATTTATCCTCCCCAAACGCCTATAGTAATTTTGAATACCTCGAAGAACAATCGGATGGCCGAGCGGTTAAGGTGGCAGCCTATCGTTTTGGGGGACCCGGAATCGAATCCGGACGGGTCGAAAATTCATTGTGGGCTTAACAATGGCCAAGCCCACAATGAATTTTCGACCCGTCCGGATTCGATTCCGGGTCCCCCAAAACGATAGGCTGCCACCTTAACCGCTCGGCCATTTTTTTTAACTCTTCCCGCCCTGTGAGCACTAAGAAGGTCTATTTTTAGCAAGCCCATTATGGGTTCAGCCAGGCCCACAACCGGATGGTGAGAGATGTTGACTGGGTGGTGAGGGACAACCTCGCCGTTTCATTGTGGTCCTGTCCGAACCCATAATGGACTTGCTGTAAGAGGCCCTCTTAGTGCCCACAGGACAGAAAGAGTTTAAAATATATATACTGTATCTCGAAGATGCTTGTTTTGTAAACGGTTAAACGAGTTATCGAAATATAAGCAATCGAAAAATACAAAAATGCTATATTTTTTCTCTTTTATTTATTACACACTACAGACGCCTCCATAGAAAAAACTACTGGATCTGGAGAGCTGAAATTTTAAACCTAAAGCATCTCTCGTTATCAGTGAGGTACTGGTGAAACTTCCGAGTCGATAGGTCAAAGTTCACGGGGGTAACCCATAAAGCTATTTTTCTTTATCGCTTAATTTCGTGGTTATAAGGAAAAAATTGGATGGAAACGAATCATTTTCATTCAAAACGTTATCCAGAATAATGAATTCAAATTTATGCAAATTAAAACCTTTTATAACGATTTTAATAACGAGGTATTGAAAGTGTTCGATCGGTTTCGAAGCGGTATCAAGATTTTTACCTATACTAATGTTTTTTTTTAATTATTTTAATTTCACTTCGTTGCTCCATGCTTATCTTTATAAACAAAAATTCCCCCAAAAAATTTGACTGTCATCCAAATTGTTAGCATTTTTTACATATCAGATGTTTTTGTTTGGATCATAAAATGGCAAAAAGCTTAATTTTAAGGGTAAAGATGAGTTTTACAAAAAAAGAATTGTAAATGCTTATTATATTATTTGGTTTTATCCGTCACGTAAATTTAGGAATTTAACACGTAACGAAGACTTACTTATACTGTATTAGTACTTGTTATATCAAGGAAAAATAACTTCTTTTAATTTAATTTGGAGCGTCACATAGTCATTCAAAATGCATACTTTGGCGAAAAATATAATAAATTTGTTAAAATGTCTAATTGTGATTTTTTTTCTATCTATCCATTTTTAAATAAAAATAATTCTTTATACGTTGGGAGATATTTTAATAAGTTTTGTAAATTACTATGTTCGATCCAGCCAGTTATATCCGAGTTTTTTTCGTCTGTTAAGCACATCCTTTGAGGATTTCCTTACCGTGTATACCAGCCTTAATACCCATCACGAGAAGACAGAAAACTGTTATACTAAACTTCTGCGATATTAGTAGGGGAAATACGTACAAAATGGCATATACGTATAAAATGACATAGGCAACATAATTCGAATTTGGCGGTCTCAAGCGCGCAACTGACCATGACACTACCAAGCATCTCATTTGTGAACTTTGTCAGTAATTTTATAGTTTTTACATGTATGTCATTTTGTCCTCACGTCCATTTTCGATGATCTCAATTAAACTAACAATATATTTTTTTTCAATTATTTTAATATTGTAAATNATGTCAAAATAAACGGTTTTCGTGTAAGACACTTGTCATCTTTGTCTCCTGTCGCCACCACCCACGTACGACTTGACCCTAGGTTTTCCTGACGCGCAATTAACGTATTGCCCCCTAAAGTCGGCGACCTTACAATAGTTATGAACCTAAAATAAAACCATATATCATTTTGTACGTATTTCCCCTATTAATTAACCTCTAGTATATTTGAAATCTTTTTCTTGATATTGTACTGTAAATGTTTAGTATATTTCATAGGTAAAGAACCAAAGATGATTGGTGTAGAATATGACAGTGCTGTGATTTACCAATAGTTATGAACCTAAAATAAAACCGTATGTCATTTTGTACGTATTTCCCCTATTAATTAACCTCTAGTATATTTGAAATCTTTTTCTTGATATTGTACTGTATAACAAATCCTAATCTATATGAATAAAAATGTAAATGTTCGTTTGGTCAAAATCTTAAATCTCCGAAAATTCTTAACCGATTGCTTTGACACAACATTGTTCGAATACGAGCGTGTTTATACTATATAGATGTCGAAATTCCCCCGTGGGAGAGAGGGACAAAATTTTAAGTCTTACCGTGAAGAACTGGTCTTCACGGTAACACCATCTCTAGTTTCCATTATTCTATTTTAGATGCGGTTTTTTGCGTTTTTAATTGCGTTTTAATAGGGTACGTCGAGAGAATGTACTGTACATTAAAAAGGAATTTTTCAGGGAGTATTATACATTAGCGAGGTTGAGGCCGAAGTTATAAACGCGAAAACGTGCACGTCGGACGTTTGGATAGTCAGTGGAATTATGCTCGACATTCCAAACACCATTGTCAAACTTCTAGGCTTACAGGAAAGCGGCGCTGAACGTCCGACGTACACGTTTTCGCGTTTCAAACTTCGGCCTCAACCTCGCTATTTATAATAAATACATTTGAGCCACAGCAACGCGTGGCCGGGTACAGCTAGTATTGTATAAGTCTTCGTCGACGAGTTAAGTCCGATCTCATTCGAGATTGACGCTGGCCCTCTCTAGCTTCCCATTTTGACCTTTAACCACAAAAATTTAATAATGCCAATCACTCAAAGTTCCCTGCAAAATTTCAGAAATTTTCGAAAAACGACAAAGGGATTATCCAGCTTCGAAGTGAGTAAACAAAATCGTACTCCACATATATACGTATGCACTCACGCATACACACGCGTCCACAGAGGGAAAACGTAACACTTGCCACACCCTGGAATCGATTAAAAAAGTCCATCGTACAAGTAAGTGATTGAGATATTTAACCTTAACCATTTGGCATCCAGCTGTCATACTCACATATTTAGAAGACAAGCTGTGAATGGTCTTCTTTGGGAAACCTGAGTGGAGCAGGTCCCTTCTGTTTTTTTTTATATTTTGTTTTTTTCAACAAATGAAATAGAGTATGTGCAATGTTTTTTTTTTAAATTAATAAAAAGTAGTATTTAAGATTTTTGATTAGTAAAAATAACATTAATTTATAGGTGTAGGAACGACTATGGGTCCTTTAGTTTTCTCTAGACCCAGGGAAGAATCCCTAGCTTCCCGGGTCCGTCTCGACGGCCTGTATATAGGCTGTATAAACATATCACACACACAGATAATAGGAAAGTAAAACACTTTAAAATGTTTAGAAATTATAAGTCCTTTAAAATCCCCTACTGTATCCTGATATGTGTTGTTGTGTTACGATCTTATTTTGAAACGTTCAACATTTTTTCCCTTTAGACCAGGGGTCGCCAAAGTGGTCGATGCAACACCATTGGGGGGTCGATGCGGCTAAGGGGTTACAACCTTTTTTTTTTTTTGCTCATACACATTCACTTATAATAAAACTTTACGGTGGGGGTCAATGTGAGGCTTTGGAAAGTGGTTGGGGGTCGACGGTTAAAAAAGTTTGGCGACCCCTGCTTTAGACAATGGTTAAATTAATGCAAAAACATTCTGAATTCGACTTTGTTTAAACGTAGGAATTATATAATCGATCTCAAATGTATACATTATAGGTAGGTGGAGTGGAGGTGTTCATATAAAGTTTATTAAAATAAGATTTGAATAAAATTTAAAAATTTCATTATAATAATCTAAAATAATCAGAATATACTTATTCACACGAATTCGTTATTATTATTTGTTAAATGTAAGACAGAATGTAGCATTGCAGCTGCAGTAAATTTGGCGCCAAAATGGTTAAATTGTCATTACGGTTGGCGCCATCTTGTGTTGATTTGTTTTCAAGATGCGTGCATGCTGACCGAGTTGTGTTTATTATTTGTAGTTTGGGTGATTAGTCGCGTGTTACTTTTTTAAAAGAGTTAAAAAGCTTCGAAAGTTCTAAACATTGTATTCAGATGGAACAGATAGTAGAAGTTAGGACGAGACGTTTTTAATGTAAAGAATTAATTCTTTAACAGTATTCATGGTAATTTATTAATTATTAAACTTATTTAATAAGCATTTAGAATTTGATTACTTTATATTCATTATTTGTATGTTGTATATTGAAAAATTTATTCTGTTAAAAATTGTTTTTGTTTTATGTAATTAATATATTTTACGAACCCAAAGCTTAATGTGAATATATGTAAATTTCACTTAACTCTATTCATTTATTAATTTATATGTAATTAATAATATGCAAATAGTTTGTACATCAAGTAGCTAGTGTCCATATGTGATGAAACTGTACAAAGATATTGTATTGTAAAACTGTCATTTTTGTGAGTAATATGTTTTAATTGCTGCTGTAATGAAGATTGAAAGACTAACCATTTTTTATTATACCAATATTAAGATTTTGTGTATTGAGAAATTGTGCTTCCATTCTCAGATATTCATAAGAATGGGCTTTCTTATTAAAAAAGAAGTGCTAATGCTTTCAAAATAAGCAAGATTTTCAGAATTAAGAGAAAAAGGTTAATTACAATAATATAAAATAAATTCACATAAGTATGTGTAAAGTGGAATGAATAGTATTTTTCTAATTGATTGTCTCTGTTAGATTTATATGTGTGATATGCATGAACTTCTAATGCTAAATTTTTTTAATATACTTATTTTTAACATACTGAATTTGAAGGTTTCAGTTTAACGAAACTAAATAATGATGTGTTTAGATCCTTTATACGGAGGTCATGGAATTTTTGGCAGCTGTTTTTTTTTGTCTGTGAAATGTGTGATGACTCTCTAATTCTAGAATATATTTTTAAAAACTTAGGGTTGACATTCAGAACATCCAATATGTTAATCTGGGTCAGGGAAGGAATCCAGGAAAATGCATGTATATGGAAGTCATTGTTTAATAGGAGGTACAGTAAACACAAGGAACAAAAATGAACATGGTAATACACAATATAAACTACTAAGGCTATGGTTACTGTGAATGCGAATTCTGACAAAATCTTGTTCTGACGAGTATGTCCGAAATCCTCGTCAGAACAAGGTGGGTACACTGTGCGCATTTTCTGATAGTACATTTCTGCCTTCCAGCAAAATGGACAAACTTGATGAGTTTTATTTTCTTGAAAGTCTGTTGATTAAGTTATTGTTGATAGGTGATGGGAAAACAGAGCATGTTAACCACTTATTTTCCATAAGAGACGATAAGGGAGAGTTCCAAATGTTATATCAAGATTGGTGGAACAACCCACAAAAGTTTTTCGAGTATTTCAGAATGAGAGATATCTCTGCCGAGAAATATCCCTGTTGTGATAGTTTTTGTCTTTCATGTCTCACAAACACCTATTCTCAAACTCAAGACTAATCAATTTATCAATATCCATGTTGAAAACACCAAAACGCTCAAAATTCATTGTCAGAACACACAAAAAAATCAAACTCGCTTGAATGGTTCTGACTACATCATGCGTGTTTTGACATGCCCTTCACTGCCAAAGTAAACACTCTCATTGGAAAACAGGTATTTGTTTGTTCAGACAAACTCATCAGAACAAGATTTCGTCAGAATTTGCATCCACAGTAACCGTAGCCTTATACCTTTCAAAGTTATCTCCAAGATTGTACATAATACATTGCTAATGATGGAAAAAGCAATGACTACTATTGGCCTAGTGTGAGTCACCTCTTGCCAAAGTGCCTTCAAGATGTCCTGTTAGTGTTTTCTATACAATAGCTTTGTTACTTCGGGAAGCAAATCAAAATCATATGGACTGAAGTCTGGCGAATACAGAATGTGTTTCAAGACTATCCACCCCCACCAATGAAACAAATGTTGCTGTCTGAGACATTCTTATAGAGGATTATGGCATTGGCCATCAGTTCAGGGCAACCTCGAGAACAGCACAATGCAGTTGGTAGTGTAGGAATGATTTGTAATAATTGGCATTTATAGTATGGCTCTCACAAACCATGTGGCACTTAAGAACATCTTAACTGTCATAAGCCAAAGTAATCATGACTTTCGTGGATGATGGATTCTATTGATCCTTGTTAACTTCATGATGAACCAGTATGATGCCATTCATTTGACTGACACTTCAGTTCAGGTTTGTTTGTGCATGTGCATGCTTCATCTACTCTATAAAATTTAATACATTATTCTCTTTCCAATGGTATCACTCCAGAAGGATATAACACATTTCATAGTGAGTCTATTTCTGTACTTCAGTTAACTGATATGGCATCCACTTGGCAGCAACCTTGTGCTTTTTGATGATGTGTTGTAAAATGTTAAACACTGTAAACATAGATACACCTGTGTACTTGGATAATTCCATCACAGTCCAGCACCTGTCTGCTTCTAACTAGTAAGTATTATTTGAATACTGCCACTGACATGTCTCTTGCTTAACAGACACAATGTCCACTATGCACAATGTGGTTGTTGATATGCGTCCACATTGGAATGCCCAAGTTCATCTCATCTGTATTTGATATGGCAAAGCACAACTGCTCCAATGCTTTTTGTAGCTCTGCATGACACTCGTGTGCATTTTTGTTGCAGAGGACTGCAGTTTTCAGGTATATTTACTCCATTTTATTTACTTCCATCTTCAAATGGTGCAGCAACACATTGACTGTTTAATTGCATGGTAATGAACAACCACTGCACATACACCCTATCTAGTGATGACATTCAGAAGCATACCCAACAAACTTTCAAATATAAACTCTAGAATCAGCATTGCAGCATGTTTTGCAAAAATAAATATCTGCCATGAATTACATAATGATCTTTCTATTTAAAAGAGTAACATTTTTAAACTTAGATTTTCATAAAAGTTTTTGATTCTGGAATCTGGTAAAATATTAATTTTATAAATTTTCAAATTGATGATTACTTATTTTATGCTTTATTTCAATGGATAAGTTATTATTTAAAATACACAAATATATTTTCAGTTTTAAATATGAAATGTTTGCATTTTCAGGAATTTATGCTGTTTTATGAACTATGAAAATTCAGAAAATGAAGTTATTTATGAATTTTATTAATTTGTTAACTTTATTAATAATTTTAATAAATAAACAAGATTTCATTTTAAATTATTTATGATTTTATGTATGTTATTTTTCAAGAAAGTTCTTGAAGTTAAACATTAAACTTTAAAGTAAGCATTACAATTGATAGACATTTTAATTTTGAGTTTAATATGAAAAAGAATATTTGTAAGTGAAAAAATATTTATCTACAATACATTAAATGTAATACAATCATATAAAATTTAAAGAATTTTATAAATAAAATTTGTATAAAATGGTTTAGAATTGATAAATAAATGATTCAAATTATTTTACAAAAGTATGTAATTTTCAGACTCTCCTTGTTGTATTGGGCCTGTCAGTGTCAGAAAACAAACCAAATAAGTAAATAGAATCCAAGCGTGAATAACATTTGTCTAATTGAAAAAACACCTTTGAATATAATTTCAATCTTGTTTGATACAGCAAAGCACAATCATCCAATGCTTCTCATTAGCTCTATATGACAAGACTGAAAAATTATACATCTTAGTATAATTCAGTCATATAAAAAAACACCTTCTTCAGAATTATACTGAGAGGTGTGTTTTTCAAGTAGACAAATCAAATGAGTGATATATCAGATGACAGAATGTAACATGTATCTATCCACCTGTTTTGTCTATTATCTATATCCATTCTGACTTGTTTTTGTGTGATGTATTTCATACAATAGTAGTTTCACTAATTGGAATAAGGTAACATTTGATACAAATACATAGAAAGATTAAAATGTCTTCACTTTTGCCATGAAGAGATTTTAGTTTTTCTATGTATTTGTACCAATGTGTAAATTCATCAGCCAATTTTTAAAAAAAAGTAATATTTCTTTGCAGTAGAAATTCATTGGCAACTGAGTTTTTTAAAATTATTGGCTAAAGGATTTTATATTTAAAAGAAAAATAACATGAAATATCTGAATGAGCAATATAATGTGGAGCTACTGTATTATGTAAACATTACTAGAGATTACTAAATGTGTGTATTTTTCAAAAATAAAGAATCGTTAACTGGAATAAAATTCATATATTTGAGTGGGTTACTTGACTCCACATGAAGTAAGAAGAAAACTACATTGATAAAATAAATGAAGGCATCCAAATTTTATTTGGTAGTAATGTTTTTTTGGGACCAAACATCTTCCATCAGATTTTGTAAAATTAGAAGTTCAGAGTTCAAATTATTCATATAAAGTTCTAATGATGATGATTGTTTCCAAAACACATTTTATTTTATTGAATGTCTTCATTTATTTTAGTATTGTATTTTTCTTTTTGAATTCATGTATTTAGTTTAAATCTAAGATTATATTTTGAATTTTTATTTATTTATTATTATTATTTAATTATATATTTAAAGTAAAATAAATTGTTAATCAGTGAAGTTATTTTAATTGTCATAACATACAAAAACCTGTCAACTGTTATATAATTATGCTAACAATTTGATTGTTAATTAATGACTGATTAATCAGTCATTTCTTGTGTTTTGGATACTTTTAGGCACTAAAATTAAAATTTTAATTATATTAAAAAAGTTTCTTTTATTTAAATAATTTAATTAATTGAAATAAATTATAATTTTAAAATATTTTAATTTAGAATTTATTTGTAAGTTAATTTTAAATAGCATTTATTTAATAGGCTTCATCTGGAAAAAGATCATCTCTAATTCATTCCAGAAGAAGTGCTACAAAATTTGAATTGTCTGAAGATCAGAAGCAAGACATTAAAGAAGCTTTTGATTTATTTGATCCTGATGGAACAGGCTATATAGATGGAAAGGAATTAAAAGTAATATTCTATAAATTTAAAAAAATATTTATGTAATGAAATTTTTAATATCAAATATATTTACTTAAAATGTTTACAAATAGAAGCTAACATAAATCAATATTATTTTATAAAATATATTTTAAAATTATACTTAAGTTTTAATTTGAGTTTTAAATTAGAACAATAACAAATTATTTTAAGATCAAAACCACAGATTATATTTTATTGTTACATAAATTATCTTCCATATTTGACAAAATTTAATATCTTTTTCATATACATTCAAGTTTTTTAAAGGTTAAATGGTGAAAAATACATTGAACTTTATTATTATTTATTTAAAGTTGAATAATAAATTCTTGAAAATGGATTCAAATCTGTAAATTTTTGACATGTTTTCAGAAAAATAAATTTTGCATTGATATATTGTAAACTTAGAAAATTTACAAATGTTCTGAAATAGACAATACTTTCATTCCTTTCACACACCACTAGGAAATAACAGATACAGTCAACTTTAGAGGCTTTGCAACAGTCTCAATATGTAAAATTTTTAAATCTTTCCTCTGGCAAGGCATGATCAATTAAAAAATGTATAAACATTTGATAAAATTGTTGTGACAATAAGTATAAACTTAGAAAATTTATAAAAACTTACTTACTTTAAAAAATGTCTATGTTTAAAAAACCTGATAGTTTATGAATGGAATGAAGTGAAAATACTATGACCAGAGGGTCNAGTAATTTTGTCAATATTTATGGCTTGTAAGTGCCGACTAAGATCTTTTGGCACAGCCTCCACTGTGCCGATAATCACTGGGACCACCTGTACTGGTTTATGCCAGAGGCGTTGCAGTTCAATTTTTAGGTCATGATATCGGCTAAGTTTTTCTTGTTGTTTTTTGTCAATTCTACTGTCACCCAGTATGGCGACATCTATGATCCACACTTTTTTCTTCTCCACAATTGTGAAGTCTGGCGTATTATGTTCCAGAACTTTATCAGTCTGAATTCGGAAGTCCCGTAGTATTTTGACACATTCATTTTAAACTACTTTTTTGGGATTATATTCCCACCAATTTTTTCGTATAGGTATATGATAGTTGTGGCACAGGTTCCAATGGATCATTTTGGCCAAAGAATTGTGTCTATGTTTATAGTCTGTCTGTGCAATTTTTTTGCAGCAGCTGAGAATATGATCAATAGTTTCATCAGCTTCTTTACACAGTCTGCATGTTGGATCATCAGCAGATTTTTCGATTCTTGCCTTGATTGCATTTGTTCTGATTGCTTGTTCCTGGGCCACAAAAATCAGGCCTTCTGTCTCCTTCTTCAAGGCTCCATTGGTAAGCCATAACCAGGTTCTTTCTTTATCCAATTTTCCTTCAATTTTGTCCAGGAACTGTCCCTGTAATGCCTTATTACGCCAGCTGTCAGCTCTAGCTTGTAATGTAGTTTTCTTATACTGATTCTTTGTCTGCTGTGCTTTAAGGAGTTTTCTATTATTGACAGCAATCAGTGCAGGCTCCCCACTGTCCTTGACATATTCTGCCAGTGCATATTTTTCTTCTTTAACAGTTTGTTTTACTTGTAATAGGCCTCTACCACCCAACCTTCTAGGCAGATACAACCGGTCTAAATCGCTGCGCGGATGTAGTGAACAATAAATGGTCATGAGTTTTCTTCTTTTCCTATCGAGATTGTCCAATTCTGCTTGTGTCCAGTTTATAATACCCGCAGTGTATCTTATGAAAGGTATAGCTCAGGTGTTCATGGCCTTGATGGTATTGCTTCCATTGAGCTTTCTTTTGAGAATCTTTCTGATACTCTGAGTGTACTCTCTACTAATGACAGTTTTTACTTGCTCATGCCTGATACTGTCCATTAATATCTTTTTCATATACATTCAAGTTTTTTAAAGGTTAAATGGTGAAAAATACATTGAACTTTATTATTATTTATTTAAAGTTGAATAATAAATTCTTGAAAATGGATTCAAATCTGTAAATTTTTGACATGTTTTCAGAAAAATAAATTTTGCATTGATATATTGTAAACTTAGAAAATTTACAAATGTTCTGAAATAGACAATACTTTCATTCCTTTCACACACCACTAGGAAATAACAGATACAGTCAACTTTAGAGGCTTTGCAACAGTCTCAATATGTAAAATTTTTAAATCTTTCCTCTGGCAAGGCATGATCAATTAAAAAATGTATAAACATTTGATAAAATTGTTGTGACAATAAGTATAAACTTAGAAAATTTATAAAAACTTACTTACTTTAAAAAATGTCTATGTTTAAAAAACCTGATAGTTTATGAATGGAATGAAGTGAAAATACTATGACCAGAGGGTCGGCACCTCTTTAGTGCCTATCAGGACTGACACCTCTGTGTCTTCAGGTTAGATATAGAAACTTTAACGGCTGCAACTTCGGAATTTGCATGAGCAGTCACATGTGCGGGCGATCGGATTTGGGATGGAGTAGTGTTGAGAGATGGATCAGAAGTGAATCACTTGGATACAAGATTAAGAACTAAAAGTAACTGATTTAATTCAACAAAAAAAGAATACATAGCTCTATGCTGTCGAATAATGGTCAAGAGAGAGAGTTTACAAGAAACCCCAAGATGGTATATATATCTTTGATGCACTTAATTGTGTGGATTTCAGATAGCTGACTTTTTGGTTGTTCGTTCGTCGTCTGTTCGGTTGGTTGGGAAGGTGTTAATTTTTTTTTTTTTTTTTTTTTTTGGATGGCGGTCAAACCAAGGGAAAACTGAAGGATATAATAATCCAGAGNTTGCTTCCATTGAGCTTTCTTTTGAGAATCTTTCTGATACTCTGAGTGTACTCTCTACTAATGACAGTTTTTACTTGCTCATGCCTGATACTGTCCAGCTGCAGTATGCCAAGGTATTTGTAGGCTTCTGGCTGGTGGCACTTTATGGTTTGACCATTTGGCATATTAATACCCTCACTTTCAGTGATTTTGCCTCTCCTCAGTGCCACAGTTGCACACTTGTCCAGTCCAAACTCCATTCTGATATCAGTACTGAAGATTCAGACAGTGTTAGTCAAAGAGCAGATTTCAGTTTCACTTCTTCCATAGAGCTTCAAGTCATCCATATATAGCAGATGTGAAATTCTTTGAGATTTTTTTGATATTTGATAACTAAAGTTTGTTTATCGTAAGATTATTGACAGAGGTATCATGGCAATGATGAAGAGCAATGGCGACAAGGAATCTCCCTGAAAGATCCCTCACTTAATATTGACCAATCTATAGCTTATATTTTCAACAAATAGTTCAGTCTTCCAATATTGCATCAGGTTTGCAACGAAGTTGCCAACCTTTTTGCAAACCGCAATAGTATCTAAACACTTAATTATCCAACTGTGTGGAAGTAAGTCAAAAGCTTTTTTGTAGTCAATCCACATCATGTGTAAATTAGTTTTTCGGCTTTTACAGTTGTCCAGAATCATTTTGTCAATTAAAAGCTGATCTTTCGTGCCTCTACTTTTCCGTTTGTTACCTTTCTGTTCATCTGGCACAATATCATTCCTTCAAGATAATCTTGAATCCTATCAGCAATGATTCCGGTCAACAATTTAAACATAGTGCGCAAACAAGTGATTGGTCTACAGTTTCCTGGCACTATTCCCTTTACTGGATCTTTTTCTATCAAATATGTTCTTCCAACTGCTAACCATTCTTTGATGTTTCCGTTTTGCAGCATCTTGTTGAATTGCTGAGCCATTTTTTTATGCAGAGAGGTCAAGTATTTAAGCCAAAATCAATGCAACTGATCATTGCCAGGTGAAGTCCAATTCTTAACTTTTTTTAATCGCCTATTAATCATGGCAGTTGTTATTTCCATCTGTTGCATTTTGTTCTTTAAGAATCTTACTTCAAACTCCTTTATCCATCCAGCATTTTTGTTATAATCCTTCTCATTTTCCCAGAGTTCTCTCCAAAACTCAATTGTTGCTTTTTTCTCAGGCTGTTCAGCTACTCTATCTCTTGGTTTACTCAGACTTTGGTAAAACCATCTTTGGTCTGTCTGAAATAGTTGATTTTGCCTATACTGGATGATCCTGGCCTCATATCTTTCGATTTTCCTCGCAGTTGCTACAATTTGTTCTTTTACAATTTCCAAAGCCTCCTCAATTTTCCGAGTGTTCAGCCAATACTTTCTAACCAAGTATTGCTTGGTTTTAGCATTCTTCAGTTTCTTTTCTTTCATATTTTTCAAATTACTCGCATCCAATCGCAGATTTTTGATTTTCAATTCCAACCTGATCTTCCATTTTGGTTTTTGGTTTGACTTTCTTGTTGGCTGCATTGGTTTTAAGAGCCCCAACTCCTCTGTTACTACCACTGCACTACTGTAAGCCATCTGATTTGTCTGCTGAATGGATGTTATTTGGATAGTAGAAAGTAATGTATTCACGTCTTTCATGATAGGAACCAGATATTTATTAGGTATTAATTTCAAAGGTGGAAGGTGCTTTCTTACTGCATTTAGTGTAGCATGAGCCATGATTTTATCCTTAAGCTCTTATTGCCTTGTTGTTAAAGTTCCTGGTTGTTCATCCAGTGCCTCAGCTGCCTGTCCTTCAATTTGTTGTAAAGGGTTCATGTTTACTTCCAGTTCGGTGTGTTCTGATGCTCCAAATATCGTCGGAGTTTCTGCCACTGTCAGATGTGAGAACTTCTGCCGAGCAGTCTCACTGAGCCTCTGAATCTCTTCAAGTTCACTGAACACCTTAGTTCTGACAATAAATCTTCTCTGATCAGCAAGTCGAAATTCAGTTATTTGTGAATCAGGGTATTCTTGTTTCCACAGTTGGTGCATCTGATGCATAGTAGCATTGTATAATTGCACAGTTCTCTGACATTGTGTATTTCTGCCGCTTCCGTGGTTGTTCATTTGTATTCTGACTCTGTAGCCCACTTAACGACGGATGCCCAGAATCAGCAACATCAGCCGCGGTCCTTTTTATCCTGGGCGACGACTGAGCCAGTAAAGACTTGGTTTTCATTTGTTTCTCCATATTGTTAATGGGTTGGGTGCACTTAGTACCAGTCCTCAGCTGAGACCTCTCTGGCTTGATTGAACCTACTGGTAGTAAACTACCGCCAGCACAGCAATCAACCTCCTTGAAGCAGATAAGCCCCCCACCACGGCAAGGTGGCACACTTCTGGGGGTGGCATGTATTTATTATTATTTTTTTTTTCTCTGGAACCCATTTATTTTAAAAGACGAAAAATGAATTTTCTCTCAAAATTCATTAGGTCCGGTCTCTCACAATACAATTTTTTAAAATATTGTCTATTTGAAAGTTTTTAAGTTTATACATATTGTCCTGGCAATTTTATCAAATTCATAAGTTGTATTTTTACAGTAATTTCATTTATGTATTATATGTAGTATTGATGATGGGGATATATATGATGATGGGTATATATAGCATTTTACTTTTAAAATACTTAATCAAATAATAAAATCCATACTTAATATACTTTCATTATAACAAAGAAATTCTTATAAAGATATTCATTAAAGAAATCATTAAATATCAGGAACAAGATATATGGAAATTTTATTTATTAGCAAATTAGCAATTAGAAATAAACAGAAAATGTTAAAGATTAATAATAAAATTGTAAACTCCATATTTATTACTGATTAAAAACAATTTATAAATGTTTTATTTTTTTAGGAAATGAAGTCTGAAAATTATTTTATTAATAGCTTAAGTTTTAGTAATGCTTGATATATGAAAGTTAAATATTTTCAAATGAAATAATGAATTACTCTCAAACATAAAACAAAAAATAGTACTTTATGTTTAAATATAACATTGTTCTTAATATTTATGTTAAGTTTAGAAGTATATTTGTATGTGATTTGTGGGTTTTGAGTCTCCTTTCTGGATCAATTTTCATTGATTCAGAGTGGGACTTGGACTCAACTACTGCATACTGTGCAGATGTGATGCTAAATACTCTACCCTGACCTCGGTTCAATTTTTGTTTACAGACCAATTAATTTAGAAGATATAATCATACAGGTTACTTGCTGCATTTGTACATTAAGCAGTGGCTATTGCATTGGCAACATGTCTACATGGTATGCAGGAGTGGCATGTTTGAGTTCCACTTTGAATCAGTTTTTTCTTCTAGAATATTTTAAATTAGTTTATTTCTAGTTATTAAATTTAATTATGCATATTTTTAGTCTAAATTACATAATATCTTTATAATTAATTTTTCGTATTATAGTCCGATTAAAATCTGGCAGTATCATTTGTTTATCATCATATGTCAGGGTTAGTTTATATGTAATCAGATATTGTTATTAGTCATTTAATGCTATCTGAATTAGCAAGTTCCAAAGCATATAAGTTAAAATATAGTATAAAATCTTTGCTTATTCTTATAGAAATCATTAGCTTAAAAAATTCCTATTTACTTGAAGATATCTTTTCACACAGCTTCAATACAGCTTTTCGCACAGCATCACACAGACTGATAACATGCAATTACTATCATTATCAGTCTTATCAGTGCTTTAAATGTTAATTATTTTAATCATTATTTTCTTGCAGCACAGATGCTTAAATTGTAGCATTTCTTGCATTTATTATTTGCTAGCCATTATTAAAAATGTGATACTGCAAAAAAAGCATGCAAACAACACTGAATGCATTACTGTTAGTAATAATAATTATAATTAACAAATTTTAAAGTTATACGTATTAAAATTAAAACTATTTTATCTTGTGTTTTTTAGTGTCAGGATTAACAAAATCAATTTATATGAATTGTTATCTTAACTTGTTGTCACTTATCCTACTTACTGTTATCATTCAGTTATTGTTATCAGTATATGCAAGTTCCAAAGAGATTGCAATAAGTGGATTATACTATAGTAGCAATATTAGAACATAATTAAACATGATTGTGTCATTGTTAAATTACTTTCTGTAAATATTTAATAAATTTAAGTTAAATAATATCGAATTGACAAGAGCAATATTAAACATTATGTATTTCCCTAAAGTGATTTTATTGGTCATTTATGATTTAGAGTTTTAGTTTCGAAATTTAATACATTACTAGATTATTTATTTGAGGTTAATTTGATTTTAAATTTTATTATGAAATAATAAAATATTACAATTATTTTTATTTTCAGTAAGTATTTAATTTTTTTACATTTTTGTAATGATTTTAATAAGTAGTGCCTTTCTAATGTATAAATGTTTTAATGCCATTTTTCACTGTTATTAAGCATTTAAATATTCTAAATCCATAATACAGTACTAATTTTTAAAAACGTTTAACTGTGACACTTTCACAGTTAAATGCTTTTAAAAATTACCATACTAAACTTTTAAAAAGCCATGTTTGTAAAAAACTATACTAGAAAGCTGAATATTTAATTCATTTTTCAATTTAAAAATGATGGCACAACACAAATGGAATTTTGCACTTTTTTAATATTAATTTGTAGTTTACTTTTGTACTTGCTATAAAGTACAATAGATCTATATGTATTATTCTATTTCATTAGGATTTTTTTTATTTGCATTAAATGACATTGCATTTTATTATCAATAAGATAAATTTGATATTTTAAAATTACATTAAAAGAGTTATAGAATACATTTTACTGAATTCAATTTTAAAAAAGGTTGCTATGCGAGCTTTGGGATTTGAACCAAGAAAAGAAGAAATTAAATCCATTGTTGCTGAAATTGATAAAGATAAATCAGGTTAGAAAAAATTTTCAAATATGTGAATTTTAGATAAAAATTAAGGTTAGATTATTATAAAGTAATCAGATACAGAAGTTATATTAAAACTATAGATTCTTACTATTATGTGTTTTCTTTTAATTTTTTGCTAATGACATATATTTGATAGACATTTTCAAAACACGATTTGTAGGTAACCCATATAAATAATACTATTACAAAAATTGAGTATGTTCACTGATTTTTTTTTTTATTTACTTTTATAACTTAATGCGAGTGAAATGTTTAAAATTAATGTTTATTAAACATTAAACACAACTTTATGTAATAATCAATTTGGTTTTTATTTGCAAAGAATGTGAATTTGATTTCTTTCATTAGGACTTTTGAAATTTATAAAAAGTTATTATTAGAATTATTGTATTAAATATTTTTGATTAATCAAGAAATTGAAATTAATCATTGTAATAGTGTACAAATATTAGATCTAACTATCAGTATAATTATTTACATACATTTACAAAATGCACCAATTAAATTCTTGAAATATTGTAAGAAAATTTTTATATTTAGACACATCAATATTTTATACTTGCACATATATTAAAAAAATTTTCATAAGCAAGTCTTCTGATAATTGATATTTATTCATGCAGTGACATAATCTAATATTTATTTATGATTAGAAAATGAATATTATTTAAAAAATAATAATAAATTATTACCATATTCTGACAATGCGCAAAGTGCCCTCTATACTTCGGCACCGCAGGACTGAAGAGTCAACTTCGCATTGGCGAAGACTGCAAAGACTAATTTGTCAGGACTGACCTCACTGTGTCTTCTGGGTAGACAGAGACCGTTACATTTGCTTTTACATGCAAACAGTTGCATCTGTGGGTGGTTGGATTCAGGATGGAGACCGATTGGGCAAAAGAAGTGCACTTTACCACAATTTTAACAATAACAATTATCCGTTTATTTAGCTAACTATACAAAAAGATTAATATTTTATAGTAAAGGTTTCATCTACGATTAAACAAATTTGCATTCTATGTCGGGAGAGAGAGAGCTTACATCTAGATAAGTTGTATAGATACCTTACAATAACGGATTGATGGAGTTCACAGTTAGACGGCTCGTGGATGGCCCTTTTGAAGGAGTTCTCTTCTTCAAGAAGTTATTTTAAAGGAGTTCTCTTTCTGAAGGAGTTCACTTATTCAAGGTGTTCACTCTAGATAGAGGAAGGTCACTAAGGTATCCGATCGTAGGTATCCAACTTTGACCAGGGCGAACTTTTGATGATGAAGGATTCTGGGATGAACTCCTTGTAGGATGGACAAACTTCTTTTTCCAGACCAACCTTTTTTGTCATCAGTCATTGCCTTTTATTGGCGGGGTCCTTCCTCTTTTCTCCTTTGCCCTTTTTTGGCAATTTACAGTGCCTATGTCAGTAGCAATTTCTCATCTCCAAGTTCCTGGTGACACATTCAATGTATCATCTTAAGAGGGAAGTGACTCCACAGAGGGATAAAATCATATCCTTTACAATTTTAACAATCATGGGAAAAATTATAGCACGGTTTAAATTTCAGGTTTAAATTTTCACCGGTAAAACATTTTGCAATTTGGCTCTCTTTCAATATTATTTTGAATTTAAGATCTGCTTTGATTTTTAAAAAAGAATTTTTAGAAAAAGAATTTTATGCTAATTAGCAGTAAATATAGTTTAAAGAATTCATTATAGAGTAAAAATGTGATGTATTTAGAATAAAGTATAATTAACAGGAAATATCAAATAAGTAAGAAATGTTATAAAATTTTCATTACATAAATTTTTGAATAGTGACAAAGAATTATAATTTTAACCTTCCAAATTTACTATTATTCTGATTTATTGGAAAACCTCATATCATAATGTACATATAAATTTCATTTCTAGTACTTTCAAATTAAGAAATTTCAAAGAAAAGAAAATTTCAGAAGTATTAGTAGTTCATTTTCTGGGGTAAAAGAATATTTCAAATATTTGATTCTTCAAATTCTTTCAAATTTCATTTGAATTTTTAACAGTTGTAATTCACAACAGATGGTACATTACATGAAAATACATATGCTCATTTGTGTAACTGAATGAGATAATAAATAAATATGTTTTATCAAAACTATAACAGTTCCATTGGCTTGTTTTATAGTCTATTATGTATTTCAAACAGCAGTTTTTGTAGTGGTGTTTTACTTTTCAGGTAGGTGCTTTTTCTTTTGGAGGTGAAGATGATTATGATAGCATGACAAGCATTATATCCAGATCAATCAATATCAATCAATCAATAAATCAATATTACTTATTGATTACAATTGGAAGTTTAATCTTTTCCTTTATCCAGGCTAAGTTACATTTTTTGTATCCAAAATCCTCTTCAGTTTCTGTATTAGTGTTAGATTTTTGGCTTATAGTAGAATTTAACACATTAGAAAATCATTCTGTTTTGAAGGAAAACTGGACCTGAGGAGGATCCGAAAAGGGAAGGATTGAAAACATTAGTTCATTTCTACATACACGATATATTGGAGTTACACAAGGGTTCTCAATGTATAATGTACAGCAACTTCAATCTGTAAAAAGTTTGATATTTGACAGCAAATCTCAGTAGAATCCTAAGGAATCAATGTTTCTCAACTTTCTCCAAAATGACCTTCCAGTTACCAAGTGGATAAAACCACTGATCATGGGTTTGCATCTTACCAACAAGCTGAATTTTTCATGTTTTCATCATGTTTCTAATACTTAGGTAGATGGCCAGTTTCTCATAGAAAGTCTTCCTGGATGATATGCCAAGGAGAAATGCCTCACATATATTGCATTTCCATATCTAAGTAAAACAAACTAAACCTGAGTTTCTAGTAGATGTTTGATATGAATTTTTACTGCATTTTGCAAAATCCCTTTTGGCACCTATTCAGGTGTCAAATCAGAGATTCGTTTCTCTTTTTTTGTATACTGTTTCAATGTAAATTTAATATCGAAATGTTGAAGTTGAAATAACATTTTGGTTGATTATTTTAAACACACAAGCCATATGTATTTGTGCAAAAAGGAATCTATAATGTGTTATTTTCTGTATTTTTGGTTGGTACCAATGCTTTCCATTAGTTAAATGGAAAAGAGGAGTTTTGGAATAAATAAAAGTATGGATAGAACTCAGTTTGGATTAATATTAAATTTTCTATATTAATTTTTATGCTATAAGCTTGATCTTAAATTATAAAAAAAATTTAATATGATAGTCTTTACATTATTAATTAGATAATACGGATAGTACAAAAATTTTAAAAGTAGATGAGATGTACTTTGGAATGAGACATGCCTCATTTTTTAACATACTCAAAATACAGTAGTTCTATATTAAAATTCAATGTATCTGCTATCTTAGTTTTAACTTAAAAAGCGATTTAGAAACTTTAATGTTCCAAAATTGGATCTTTAAAATAGCAATCAGTTTAACAATTTAATAGTATTAACAAAGTTTGGTAAAACACATTTACAGGTTCAACTCATCTGTTAAAATTTAAAGCAAGATGAAACCAGCCAATACATTCTGTAGACTAAGAATCTGATGGCTTTGAAAGTTATTAGAGAAACTTGCAGGTTTTGTTTGTTAGTAGTTTTGTTTGCAGGTTTATTCTTGCTTGTCTTTTTCAACCCACACCCTTAATTGATCCTGACTAGTGAAATTTTTGGTGTTTTAATTGAATTCTCTTCTATTTTTAGTGTAGCATTTTGTATGGTATGTGTGAGATTCATTTGAAGAAACAAATATATGTTTCACAGGTTTTTGTAAATTGTAATGAAGACATTTACTTTTTTGATTGGGTGATCTGCATAAGAGATGTTGAATGTCTTCATTCTCTGAATCTTTTTTTTCATTACCACACAGAGCACAAATAAAAATGTGCTGCTAGTCCAGACTACTAGTGCAGCTGTACAGTTAGCCATTTCATGACCTGACGTTTTACATTAGAAACATACAGTTCTGAATGTAGGTTTTCTGAAAGTATAGCAAGTCTATTCATTAATGATTGATTCTCAGAAAAAGCCACAGATTCAAACTACTCAAACCAAGTATAGAGAATACTAGTTTATTTACATTATATTTACACAACCTTTTACTGTCAAACAGGACTCCTTTTCGTACTCCTTTTTCAAGTTCCTTCCCAAGAGAACTTGAAAAAGGAGTACGAGTTTGAGAGCATTGCAACTAGCTGCAGGGATGTTAACTCCTATCTGCTTACAAGGAAAACTTAACCCATACATGAAATAAATGATATTTTAGGAGTTATGCATGTATTTGTTTTTGGAAAAAATAAAAATGAGATTCATTTTTGTGTCCAGTATTCCAAGTGCCAAAAACTGGCCTCAAAATTTGCCATGTTATACAAACATAAGACTACCTTACCTAACCTAACCAGTTTCCTTATTGGCAAAGTTGAAAAAAGAGTGCATATTTTTCCCCTCTATCTCTGGTAACTGGTTTGAATCTGATTTATAGATAAAGCTATGATTTTTTTAAAATATTTACTGACCTATTTGTTGGGGTATGTGACAGCTAGGTGATAGTCAAGTGGGCAATGGTTAATTGGGCGACAGAAATTTATAAATTTGTTGCATGCTTTGCAGGCATTCTAGTTTGGTGGATTTATATGTAAATATAAAATCACAAGCCATCCAAATTAATAGATTTTTATAAATGGACTATGAAAAATTTAAAAATCATATGAAAGAATAGTAGCAGGTTTTCATTGTCAGTACAAATGCAGATATTATGATGAAGCTGATCAAAGAATTTTCAGAAAAGTTTTAAATTACAATAGGGAATATATAATAGAATATTTATATTGTATTGCATGGGTGGGCAAGCAAGAGTTCAGTGGGAGCCGAAATGTAGGTTTTGCAAAATGCATGGGAGCCGCAGTTCTGTGCTTTTATTCTGTACTGCAACTTTATTATATAATATAAATATAATATAAAACAAATATTGAATGTTTTTAATAAACATATTTTCACAAAATTGTGGAAATAAAATTGTAAAAATAATAATAAAAAGCAGAAATTTTCAGCATGAGTCAGATGTAACTTTCAGCAAGAGCCGTATGTAACTCAAAAAGAACCGCATTTGCCCATGTCTGTTGTATTGGATATAACTGTAATATGAATTAATAAATGTAAAGTAAAAATATTGTTTTGAATTTCATATACTTTTTGTTTTAATGTATGTAACATGTGTAAATATGTTTGTTAATTATAAAATAATAATCAAATTTTTTTAATTAATTAATTTAATTAATTATTTTTTCTGCATTTTAATATTCTGCAACTATCCCTTTTCATTTTAAAATTATTTTCAGACCACTTTTTATTTTTAATTTTGATTTATGATATAAATAGAAATGTTTGTTAACCAGGTGACTTGAACTTTTTCATGGGAGATTATAGTATAACTTCTATACAATTATGTAATTCTACACAATAAAAATAAACTGAATTATAAGTGAGCTCTTTTTTCAAATTTTATGTTTAGATTATTCGTTTAACTCCTTTCTTTAAAAAAATCATTCCTGTTATCTATCATCCAAATGGCACCAGTTCCAGATAGGATCTTCCTTCTTTTATAGACTGCATTAAATACTTTGATTGGCTATTATATCATAAATGTTTTAATGGTTATGTATGCTCTAATTAAGTTTATCTAAAAACACTCCAGAAGAACTTGCGTAATTCGTCATGTATTTTTACACCATTTTTAAATTATTTGTTTCAGAAAGATCTTATTTCTACCATATTTCAAAAATATGAATAATCTAGAACAGGGGTCACCAAACATTTTTCACAGCGGGCCAGATAACTGAGAAAATGATGAGTTTGCCACATAATCATTTTGTTCAATACAGTACTTTGAATACACAAAAAATTAAGACACATTTATTTACCAATACACAAACACAAACACTGCAGCATGCACATAATCGCTTTTCTTAGAAACTTCATTGCAAACACAAAAACTCTTCTAATATTCAAAGTGGCAAAAAGTTGCTAAATTTTTTGTTTCACTGATTTTTCTAAATATTATATTACTGTCAGATGCAAAAATCAGATTGGACCAATTTTGGCATATTTACTTAAGTTTCTTTTAATTTTTTCTACATAGTAAGTTTATCTACAATCTATATTTTCATATAAATAATTATATTTTAGCTCATTTGTGCCACAGTGCGGTGACAGGCCATAGTTGATCCCTGATCTAGAATAACTTCATGAAAATTTTACAAGATTCAAAAATATTTGTAAACACATGCTTTATAACTTTTAGATCATTCAATTGCATTCATGGGATTATTTAATGATTTTCATTTTTTTAGTTTTTTAAATTTGTTATGGATTTTATTGTTATGCAGGAGGGTGGAAATCTTTATTTTAATCACTTTTCTTATTGTATTTAAAATAAATAAATATACAATATTATTTAAATTTATCAGGTAATAAATCAACAGAAAAGAATTATGATTTTAATAAAAAAAATGATAAACAGTTGACAAAATAAATATCTTTTTTTAATCTTTTATTTATCTATTATTTTTTTACCTGATGTCCAGTGTCCACTTGGTGTCCAGTTAACAGTGGCCTTGTTTTCTGTGTATATTGGAGTGTTTGTAGCAAATAGCAAGAGAAGCACGATGCAAAAATGAATCTTGTTTTTGGTTTCCCCAGAAAAAATAATGCAATAATTATTGAAACATTCATTTCATGTGTGGGTTTGGAAGGTTTCCCTTGTTAGTAGAACACAACTAGGCAAATCTGTTGCCACTTTCTCATGATATATGACCAGTCTTTGAGAGGGAGAAAGAACTCTTCTCACTCTCTTCAACTTCTAACATAGTCTGAAGGTTTTTCTAAACCCCTATTGAGCTTAATGTTCTCATAACATCAAGTACTATCAATTACCTCCTTCCACAATTCTTTAATTAATTAACAATAGATTGCTTCTGCATGGATTAGTAGATCTATTCTCTCCTTGTTTTCTTCTCTGCTGAATTTTTCCCTATTTAAATTGGATGATGTGACCAATCAATTATCAGGAAGTTCACCATGTGATGGGGAACCCTGAATGTGTTTGAGCTGGGCAGATCCAAAATATAAAAGTACTGATGACACATTACTTTCCATATTTGAATGATTTATTATGTTCATCTTCCAGTAAATCTCTCTAAGCCATTCTTTGCTTTGTAAACATTTTTAGGCTTAGCTTAAATGATTAAAATTAAAAAATCAAAAACAGTTAATGCATCTGACCCTGACTGGATAATTAAATCCAGGGGTAGTAAAGAAGAAATTCTATGCAATCCCTGGAAGGTCCTTTGTCAGACAGGAAAAGATAAAAAGATATGGCCCACTAGTGGCCAAGCGATTCCATTCCGTGAACACTGGGAGTTTGGTTGTGGGTTCATGCCTCGCCAGGATGGACTGACCAAGTGGAGTTTTCTGGATTTTCTCCACATCTGTAATGAATGATTACAGCCAATTACCCTTAGAAAGACCTCCTGGAAGGCATCCCCTAGGCAGATTGCCCAACTGTTGCACTGCCATAGCTTAACTAAACAAACAAACAATCATAAAAACATATGATATTCAAGCGAAAATAAACTTAGTTTACATTTTTCTTTTGTAAATATAACATTGTAATTGAATTAATTAATAATATGATATTTTAGTTAATATAGGTAAATATCAGATTTTAATATTTAAACTGATGTTTTGTGATATGCCTTGCTATTTATTTTCTAGATTTATTTAGATAATGTAAATACATTACAGGTAAAATTGCTTTTGAAGATTTTATGAAATTAATGACATCTAAAATGGCAGAAAAGGATACAAATGAAGAAATATTAAAAGCTTTTCAACTATTTGACAGTGATAACACAGGAAAAATTTCATTTAATAATTTGAAATGTGTAGCTAAAGAATTGGGTGAAAATTTAACAGATGAAGAATTACAAGTAATTAGATTTGATTTTATTTTATTAAGTTTTAACAGATAATTCATTTATTAAAGAATTACATTAAGTTGAATTAAAAATTAATTTTATTTGAGTGCTCAATAAAAAATTATTGATCAATGTAATAATTTTTTTCCATTTATTCAATTATTTCTTTAACGTTTGGCAGATTTCAAAAGCTTGATTTGAGACTAAAACAAGGTAAAAAAAGTCATCCTCTACAATGCATTATATAGTTTCATCTTTAGAATGTTATTACACTGTGTCTCTAATCTATGCTCAGAATGTGCAAGATATTATGATTGTACAATTTAAATGAGTTTAGATATTTGACATTGTGCATTGTGTTAATCAAACTCATCATAAATTTGTTAATGAATACATAAATACATTTGAAAATCAAAATTATTTTAATAGCAGAAAGAAAGAAGAGAAAGAAAAAGTTAAATTCAAATTAAAAGGCAATAATGTAAGTTATGTTTTTTGGGGAATAAAGTAATTTTAATTCTATCATTTTTTCATGTATTTTATTCAATTTGAATAGATTAGAACTTTCTTACTGTTTAAATAAACTGAATATTTGCTACAAGAGGATAACATAATTTAGAATATTTTGTTTTTCCTTTTCATCTTTATTACAAAGATGTTGAAAGGGTTGAAAAATTGACTATTTATTTTTGATAGTTAGTTCATTTTTCTTAGATCATTTGATCATTTACCTTATAGTTTGTTTACAGTTTTTCTTTAATAAAATTTTTCTCTTATGTTTTAGATCCTTCTTCATTTTTTTTTTTTTTTGTTTCCATTTAGCTACTGTCTTTCTTTCTTTGGTCTTTTTATTACACATTTCTTTATTAGTTATTTTTGGGAGTAGAAGTAATTCATGTTTTGTTTCTGACTCATTTGATGTTATAGAAGATGTATTCATTATGCCTTGGTTTATTTTTAAATATAAACTGAAGTTCCAAAAAATTAAGACAGCAGCATATGCAATGTTACCTTCTACCCATGGGAAATGCTTTGAGCTGTAACATTTGCATTTGACCTATAGGTATGATACTTATTAGTTATGTGTGAGCTTGGTTAGAGTAGCAGCAGGTTGTGCAAAAGATTTATTGCTGTTTGATCATGGATAGGTTGTTGGAGAAAGAAGAATGGGTTACTCTATCAATGAGGTGGCCAATGCTTCTGGATTTTCTTGTACAACAGTTTCAAATGTTTCACAAATACTTAAATTCAGGACAGACATCAGCATCATGTGCACAGTGTGGGCATCCATGGCTGATGCAAGAACATGACTGCTGTTGGCTAACCAGGTTAGTAACCACACAGCAAATGGCAATTCAACGCCAGATCACATCAACAGGGTGCTGCTGAGCCCGTCAGTCAACACACTGTACAATGTAGTAGTTGCTGACCTTGGAGTTTGGTAGTTGCTGACCCACTCTGGTGTCACTACTAACACCCAGGCATCAGGCAGTGAGCCTCACCTGAGCCAAAGAACATTGAAATTGGACACTGGATGATTGGTGCAGTGTTATGTGGTCAGATGAATCTCATTTTCAGCTCTTTTGAGCTGATCATTGTGTTCTTGTGTGGTGACAACCATACAAAGCCATGAATCCATTGTGTCAGCAAGATGTTGTGCAAGCTGGTGGCAGCTCTGTCCTGGTTTGGAGTGTGTTCTATTAGCACAAACAGGGACTAATATGAGACTGCAGTTGACTTTGACAGTTGTGACGTATACTAAACTTGTGACAAACTCTTTGCACTTGTTTATGCTTGCTGTGTTCCCTGACAATAGTGGTTTGTACAAGTAGGATAGTGCTCCTCCCCACAGCACAGGTGGCATAACAATGGCTTGAGAACATTTGAGAGGTTTTCAGCTACTCATTTGGCCACATCAGTTGCCAGACTTGAACCCCACAGAGCATTTATGGAACATTGTTCAAATGTTACTCAATGTCTTGCAGAATTATCCAACAAATGCAACTGATTTATGGTTCAATTTACTCCACGTTCAATGGTTCTCCATAGAACCATTGAACGTGGAGAAAAATGGTTCTCCATGAGAAAAATGGTTCTCCATAGAACCATTGAACGTGTCTGGATTGAAATACCTGTGCTACAATTCACACCTTGTAGAGTCTACGCCATGTCCTGTAGCTGCAGTAATTCAGGCTCAGGAAGGGGCTACACATTATGTAGGTATTCAACAAAACTCACTCAGCAAATAATAAACTACACCACAACACCTTAAGTTGCTGAGAAAAATTTATTAAAATGTAACTAACATTTTCAGCAAAATCAATTGGCTATCTCAGGGTAATTGAGAAAAAAATGGTGGCGATGTTCTAAACATAGAATATATAAATTTGAATACAAATACAATGGAACTAATTCTAATATATTATTAATATAAAGAATTATAACAATATATATATACAGTCGACCCCCCTATAACATAGTAGATACGTTCCGTTTTTTATGAAATTGATGTTTTAGGAGACCTTGCCAATCACAGCCCGACACATATGAAGTTTACGGACTACGGCTGTTTGAAAGGTTTTCTTCCATAAAATTAATAGATTCCTAGACTAATTTGACTCGACATTTCCAAAATATGTATATTTTTTTGAAAATAATCCGTATAAACTATGCTATAAACAAAAAATTGTAGAATTACTTACCGAGTGTGCACCGTTCGATGTCACCATTGCTTAAGCTTGTTTTCATCGCGGACCAAACAGCAGGCGCGATTTCTGATAAGTTATTTTTCTGCGAAAACTTCATTGAACTTTGGAGACATCATTAATATAAATAATTTTTATGGCTGTTGAATAAGAAATGTTTCTTTCACAAGAAATGTATAAAATTAGTGCTGTATTAGACTTACGGTACCTAATTTACATACTGTACAGACGATAGTAAACTCAACTTACTCGCCTAAACTCTCCGTAGCGTGGCGCTGGACGGCGGAAAGTATATATATAATTATAATAAAGTTACAATAAATTAAGTTAATATATAATTATATATACAGTACCTAATTTATATATAATTTATATATAATACTGTACAGATGATAGTAAACTCAATTTACCTGCCTAAACTCTCTGTAGCATGGCGCTGGACAGCGGAAAGTAGTTCGGCTGCCCGATGATGTTTTACCGAATTATAGGAGTTTTTTTACCATGTTTGTACGGATACCATCACAATTTTTTCGCCGTCATATAGGAATCCGAACTATAGGAACCCGTGTTATAGGGGGGTCAACTGTACATGTATAAAAATAAAATAAAACAACAAATAGATATAATATTATATTGTATATAATATACAAAAAAAGTAAAAAAAATGCAAAAATAAAAATTAAGGCATAAGTTATGAGCTCTTAAAAAACTTTTTAAATTAACTAGGTACTTCCATGCTGACGGTAGCCCTTCTGCATCCCTTGCATTAATGCATATATCTTGTAGCTTGCCCTTATAAATTTCAATTTGTGTTGGTGTGGAAGTTAAGAAACAATATAGCTGGGTATTAATTAAGTATAATAATAATAATAATAATAATAATAAAGTAGCAAATATAATACACCAAAAGCTTGCAAAGAAATGCAAATTATTAGACATCCATGAACCAAACTACAAATACATTCCACAGTCAGTATTGGAAAATGACAGACACAAAATGCACTATGACAGCCACAATCTAAATATAAAAAATTACTTGTCCTGATTGACTGACTGACTGAGTGATTGATTTATCATCGCCCAGAGCAAACCACTGAACCTAAACAGGTAAAATTTGGTACACAGTTACAGTACATCATGAAAATACACACTAAGAAAGGATTTTTCGAAATTCCCCCATGGGGAGAGAGGGGGAGCATTAAGGCTTAACCTGAAGAACGTCTTCTACTGTATTGTTTTAGATGCGATTTTTTTTTGTTTTTAACTATGTTTAGTCTTCATTGAGTAATTAGGTGTGTTAAATTGATAACATTTCAGACATTGTTATAAATATTTTTATATATTTCGATTTTTTAACCAAATGTTCGAACTGTTTTAAATTCAAATTTGTTATTGCATATTGGTTCAATTGTAGAACGATTGTAAACGTTCCAGAAAATTGATAAAATTGAAAACAGTTTGTTTGATTCTCAGCAATTCTCATAATTTTCAGTGGTAGGTGTTATATAACAATTACTATGGTTATTGAAATACTGAATATAAATGAGGTTTGCTTGCAGAGTGAAGTCGAGGGTAACAGCTATTCACAGAAAAAACAATTTACCACAACAGACCAGACATCACACTCATTGACAAACACAATAAAATCACATACATTAATGACCTATCCATTCAAACATTCAGTGTACAAAACATATAAGGTGTGTTCCATAAGTAATGTGACCAAATTCATAAAAAATTATTTATTGAACATTTTCTTACAATTAGTCAAAATCTTTGAAATAGCACCCTCCTGCATCGATACATTTGTGAAGGCAGTGTTTCCATGCCTGGAAGGCCTTCTTCGGAATGTCCTTTAGAGCTGATGTAACATAAGCCTTAATGTTTTCAATCGTGTTCCAATGTTTTCCTTTCATGGCCCCTTTTAAGCAAGGAAACAAAAAAGTCGGCAGGAGCCAGATCAGGACTGTAAGGTGGCTGTGGAACTAATGGAGTATGGGTCCTGGCCAGGAAATCATTGACAATGAAGGTGTTGTGGCTTGGCGCATTGTCGTGATAAAGTATCCATGTGTCCTTGATGTCACTTTGGCAGCGCACGACCCTCTTTTTCAGTCTTTTGAGCACTTACAAGTAGAAAGCTGCATTTACAGTGGTCCCGGCAGGTACAAATTCATGGTGGATAATGCCTTTGATGTCGAAGAAGACAATGAGCATGGTTTTGATCCTGGACTTGCTCATGCATGCCTTCTTGGGGCGGGGCAAATTGTGCCATCGGAAAACTTGTGATTTGGACAAGCAATCATTCCCAAAGGCCTGCTGAATTAATGTAAAGGTTTTGGTGGTGGACTTTCCAAGTTTAACGCAAAATTTGATAGCGTAACGTTGCTCCACAAAATGATCCATTGTGCCGTGTTACATTAACTCAAAACGGGGTTCATGGGAACAAACATCCTCACCCACCAGCTGCTTGGAAGCAAATGAGACCGAGTGAGTTTTGAAGCTAACACCCCACACCACCTAGTGCAGCAGGTTAGAACTAGATACGGTATATCATCGTGTCATGAAAAAATTGGTCACATTACTTATGGAATGCACCTTGTATGCACTTTAAAAATCAGCAAGTACACAGAACTTGCCCAGGAAATAAGGCATCTGTGGAGGATGGATAGAGTGCTTATTGTATCTGTTGTTCCATCCTCTATAGGTGTGATACCACACACACTACACAAAAGCCTGGAAACATTATAATTGAATAGAAATACATACATCACACTACAGAAGGCAAGTATATTGAATACATGTCATATTGTTAGGAAATTCCTGAATACAGACACACACACTGACATACTTATTTAATTTTTGTCTTGTTTTAGTTGCTATGCCTTGACTCTGGTCCAGCATAGTACACAGCAACTGGTGTCAACCAAGTATAACCCACTACACACACCATATTATTATTATTATTATTATTGGCATTTAATTCAAATTTCTTATGTAATATTTATTTTAAATTACTTTCTCCCTGCAGCAAATTATATTAGCTTAATTCCAAGATAGGAATTATTTGGTAATGAAAATCAGTTTATACCTAAGCATTGAATTTTAAATTTGATTATTATTTAGAAATTTGAGAGAGTTATAGTTAAATTATAAATGATTGCTTTTAATTTCCTTTCTTTTAACATTGATGTTATAAAATCAAGAATTATTAAGATCTTAGAAATTTTAAGATTAAAAGAATACAAATTCTATAGTTATTCTTTAGCTTAGAGATTTAATTTATTTAAAAGAATTTAATAAAGTTGACTGCCCATATATATAAAGACCACTTAATTATATAATGATCAATTGAGAAATATAATTAATATTACTTCTGCTGTTGCCAAAATATTTTAGATTTGATACTTTTTTAAAACCATTAGACATAATTTTATAAAGAGCACTATTTCTGCTTGAATAGCATAATGAAGCATTTTAAAATTTTATTGCCTTGTATCAAATTAATTTTATAAATTAATGTAATTTTAGTAATAAAAAAAGTTACTTTATTGAAACTAATTTTTCCAGGAAATGATAAATGAGGCTGATAAAGATGGAGATGGTGAAGTAAATCAAGAAGAATTTCTTCACATTATGAAAAAAACATCTCTCTATTGATAATTTTTATCACATAATTGTATATATTAATTTTTATTTTGAGATGATTGATATTGTTATAACTAAATATTGTTTTCAATTATTTACATTAAATACTTTTATTTGAATAAATTTCAATATAATAGATATATTGAATAAAAGATATGTGGAATATTAAAAGTTAGTTGACTTTTAAAGAAAAAGAATTGCATCATACGGTATATAAGAAAATGACATTGCTTCATATGATAAATCAATATAAATAATCCATTATGTATAGATAAATGATTAAATAATTCACTTCTATGAATCTATAAGGACCAAAGTACATTTAAGAGATTTCATTATATTTAAGAATAAAATAAATATTATACAGCTTATATCAATGAGTTGATTGTCAACAAATTTCTTTTTATCATTCTTGTGTAAACTTGTTAATTTTTTAATTGTATAAAATACAGGTATACCTCGCCTTACGTCGGTAATTGGTTCCAGGAAAGCGACGTAAGTCGAATTTACTTGTCTCCGAATCTACTCGTCACTAGGCTAAATCATAAATTACCATTCCTGGTTCTGTATTTTATTTATTAATGCATTTTTAATAATGTATGGTTAATAAGGGTCTATTTTAAGCTTACAAACAAATAAATTTATTTTTTAATATAGTACAGAAAAAAGTAATCTAAATTTACGAATGCATGTACTGTAAATACAGTACATACTTGTAAATGTATATATTTTAATATGATTTTATGTGCTTTAAACGCTTTTCTAGTGATATTACGACTTCAATATTTGTGGCGGACAGACGTAAAGTCGAATAAAATGATTTAAACTTGATTTTTATTTTTCCATATACTTTTTTGACAAACGACGTATAAATCGGGAACGACATAACTCGAAACAACGTAAGTCGAGGTATACCTGTACTGTGATGATAATACATGAATGATGACAGGATGGCAGAGTGATTAATGTGGCAGCCTGCTCCTCTAGGGCCCAGGGATTTTTTTTGGAGGTGGTACATCTGATTATGTCAGGCCCCATCCCTCACCACCTGGCCACCTTATTGTAAGCCTGGCTGAAAAATCCATAAGCCTTTTCTTTGCAAGTCCATTTAGTGCCCAAAGGCCAGAAAGAGTTGAAAAAATATATTAGATGATTGTTTCAAATATGAGAAATATGAGGGGTTTTTGAAAAGTAAGGTAACATTTTTTTCTAGAAAATGTTTAATGATAGAAAGTTGACAGTATACAAGAAGAATTAAGGAAACATGAACTACTTTACCATGTAGTCTCCATAGTTATTGAGACAATTGTGCCAATGATTGATCAGTTTATTTATAATGGTGTTGAAGAAGTGTGACTTCAAATTCCTGAATCAACTTTGAAATTTTGTGTGAAAGTCTTCATCCATATTAAAGTGTTTTCCTGAAAGATGTTTCTTCAGGAGGCCAAACAAATGATAATCTGATGGTACTAAGTCAGGACTGTATGAGGATAGAGCAGTTTCCTGTTGTTATAGTGCAGCCACTCATATGTGCATTCTGCTGTGGGAAGTAGCATTGTCATGCAACAAAAGAATGCTATTGGTTAGGAGCCCAGATTGTTACAGCTAATGTTTGTTTTCAGTTTCTCTAGTGTTGTACAATGACATGCTGCACTGATTGTTTTTCCTCTTTGACAAGATGTCACTAATAGAATGCCCCGACAATCCAAGAACACAGTGACCATAAGTTCGCAAATTGAGGGTATATTCTGGAGTTTCTAGTACATAGGAGATTGTGGGTGCTTCCAGGTCACAAAGTTTTGTTTTCTCATTGGTATTAAGTGACAAACCCATATTTCATTGTCTGTAACTATGTAAGCCAAAAACTGTCACCTTCGGCTCTGTATCACAACAGACTCTCCAGCGCAGCCCCATGCGTGTTGATTTGTGCTATTCTGACAAATTGTGAGGCAGTAATGGGTGCAGACTTTGCAAAAACCTGAATATTGTGAACAATTTTATAAACAGTTGTCTAAAACAAGCCTACTATCTCTACAATTTCACTTATTGGTTTATATGAATAATGCTTTTAATATACACAATGTTCTCTTCAATCTTGCTGAATGAAGGCCTGTCCACCCTACCAATGTTGATCTTCAATACCAACACACCCAGCTTTAAATTGAATGCATCATAAACACTTGCTTCTTATTCATTGTCCCCAAACAGAAACAAGTTTCTGATGAATATTGCTTAGAGATGTCATTTTGCTTGCAAAAAATGAATTATTTTGCAGATGCCCACTACTTTTTTATGTCACCACCATCTTGCAACTGAACTCAGTTGCTGGTTGGCAGCATGATTTCACTGGCCTTGTGATCATTTCAAAGATAATGTGCAGAATTAATGTCCAAACTGACCTTTCATATGCTTTCAGCAATGCTTTCAACATAAATGAAAAACAAAAATTTTCAGCCTCTTCAGTGGCCAGTATCAGGTTTCTATAGAAGATTTTTTTTTTTTTAATTCTTTTTAGCCAAACTTTTGGATTTTGGAATGATTTTTGAAACAAAAAGCAAAGTTCTAGAACAAGATCCGTTTAAACTCAACTGGGGTTACATGTACCCCTAGGGGTATGAGCATAAATCGAAGGGGTACATCTAACTTTCATTATAAAATGGCATATGTTAATCAATTTTCTGTAAATTATTAACACAAGAAACAAGAAACGACAAAAACTTGCTTTAAAATATCCCAGTGTGAACACCAATTTCCCTTTTAACAGTCTAAACAACTTGTTTATCCATTTGATTTGCTTGTGTATTTGTGTTGTTAGTGAACCTGTAGTCTAGTAAAATTATGGTTTAACCGAGCATTAATTTTAGAATAGAAAAAAAAAATTTTTTTCTATTTTATAATTATTGATTGATAAGATTGGGGTTTTTCGTGTTTTTGCTGGACTACTGGTATTAGGAATAACGAGGCCTGGATCGTACCCCACTATGCAATGCGTGCCACTGCATGCACGCATTACTTGATATTTAGCAAATTTAGATGTTATGTTTGTTACAAAAATTGAAAGATTCATGTATTGTTCTGCACGTTATAAATTCGCAGCCATTACTTTCAAGGTCAGTACACAATTATAATCTCTATTTAACAACATGGGAACCAAATATCTCATTAAATTTTGTTAGAAATTATTGTAGAATAATTAAAATTTTCTTTATTGTTAATTATAATTATTTATTTTTAGGAAATGTAATTTATGCATGTATTAAAATGACGTCTGTGTTTATATAATATACTTATCTATCTTATCTAATTTATACTTATACTAATTGAGAACCACTGATTTAAACCAATCAAACCATTCAGTTATTTCCATTACATCATCCCTCATTCAGGAGATGCTGGCCCCTGAACAAATCCAAAAATGATTTATATTGACTGCATTGCTGGAAATGTACAAAAGGTCAATTTGGTCATCAATCATATATTAATTCCAGCTTTAAGGAATAATTTTTATAATGTGCTGGACTATCCATCCATCTTACTTCAGCTCACTCCTTCTCACTATCCTAAATGTGTTACTTTACTTTTCAAAAACTCTCATATAATGTTGTTCTCACATTGCTATAAACAGGATTTTATTTTAGTGATGATTTTTTTATACAACTTTATACAAGAAAATTGAACAAAGTTATACTTCTCTATTTGTATTATGGTATTAGTATAGTATAGTATAGTGTTATAAATTATTTAACAGTGTCAAAAGTAAATATTTTTATAAATTATCTGATTGAACAGAAAGTTCTCGCACTTTTGGATGCATTTCATTTAGCCAATAAAATTTTATGTACAGAATTGACTTCAATCACCAATGTAATCACCATTGTTGTTGACCACTTCCTGTCAATGCTTATGCAAGGAATGGATGCCAGCTTGATAAAACTCTGGCGGCTGTGACTTGGAGAAGTTTGTCAGACTGGCCTCCAAGTTGGCTTCCTTGCCAGCCAGGTGATGGTCAAGTGCGGCAAACAGGTGGTAATCTGAGTTGCAATGTCAGGGCTATATGGCAGGTGGGGCAAGACCTCCCAGTTCAGGTCCAGTAGCTTCTGGTGGGTCTGCCTAGCCGTATGTGGCCGTGCATTGTCATGCAGCAGGATGGTGTTCTGGTGTTCCAGGTGGGTCTCCACCAGTTTCTGCTGCAGACGTTGAGTTGTTTATAGTAGAAAGTTGCGTTGATGGTTATATTTTGCGACAGCAACTCAAACATGGTGATTCCATTAGAATCCCAGAAGATAGAGAGCATGATCTTCTTGGGTTAGGGATCTCCACGTTTGAAGCATTCATACCAATCGTATGCAGTTCTTCTGGTGACGGTGTTCTGGCCTAACACAGCATTAATGTCAGTGATAGAATTGGCTGCTTTTTTTCTTTTTTTGAACAATAGTCATAAACGAGGAACAAGCGAACTTGCTCTTTGATTAGCGGATGTTGGTTGGTCATGGTAAATTAGAGTGAGAGGACTGTATTTGGTATTTTCTTATAGCACATACCCTGACCTGTTTATATACTACCATGGAACATTCTAGAACAGGGGTCGCCAAAGTGGTCGATATTGACCCCCCAGGGGTCGATTGAGGGGTCAATGCGGCTAAGGGGTCACAACCTTTTTTTTTTTCCGGTGGGGGTCAATGTGAGGCTTTGGAAAGTGGTTGGGGGTCGACGGTTAAAAAAGTTTGGCGACCCCTGTTCTAGAATGTTCCAGAAAAAAGTTATTTTAGAAAGTTCCAAAAAGTACGAGAACTTTCTGTTCAATCAGATATTAATTGTTTTGGTAAGTGAATCTATTAATAGATTAGTTTTGTATTCTGCTGCATAAGAGTAAGTAACTTAGATAATTAAGTTATTTAACATAAATCCAAAGAATATTTTGCCTTATGAAAAAAATGAATTTTTATTTGTTTCTTTTGGTAAATGCACAATTTAAACTATGTTCTTCTATTTTTATAAGGTAATGTTCATATGTACAAGGTAATTCACTAGTCATGTTAAGTAGTTTTTCTTAAAAACCATTGGAGAGAGGAAGATGGAACTAATTTCCAAGTTTATAGTAGATGGGGATAATTTTGGTGATCATGGATGACCTTGAATATCAGCAGTTTTTGAGTTACAGAACAAAATAGATTTTTTTTTAAATTATAAGGGATGCTTTTGATCCATTGTGTGAATTGTGTGCAATAAAATAAACATCTTTTGCAATAGGTTGCATTTCCTTAAATCTGGTGGTTTTCAAGATATCATCCAATTTCTGTTAAAAATTTGCATTTTCTTTTTCTGAAAGTTTCTATGCTGGGAGTTAAGTTTATCAGTTTTCAATCTTTGTTTTATTATATCAGATAATTATGCAGTCTTTGAATAAATTGAATTGTTACTTTTTCAAAGGTATGAAGAAGTTCCATTTTTTGGAGTG